CAAGGAGAACCAAGCCAAGCAGATCATGATGTGTTCTTGGAAGCAGGTTTAATGGACTGGCTCCGAGAGGAGCTGGGAACGAGACCTGACGCCCTGAGACTGGACGGGCTCGCGCGAGGTTTTCACATCCAGTTCTAGCAAGTGGCGACGCCTTAGGGAAACTTTTGAAAGGTGTCTGCTGCAGACCAGACAGCTGGTACTTCACTGGGTTCTTCTCGGGAGCACAAGAAAAATCTCGGCGTGCCTACTATGTGCCAGGAGCCGAGGCAGCCGCGCCTCTGCCCTGAGACTGTCCTCCGAAGGGGGAGTGAGGCGCACGCAGCCCCTGGTGGCCGTGCGGAGCGCAGCGCACGCCTCCTGGGCTGCTTCCAGACAGAGCAACCTTCTCTTCAAAAGGCTGTTTTTGCCGCACGTCTGCTATTCCGGAGCCAGAACTCCCCGATTTAAACAGAGTAAACATTCCCATGGCAGAGGGACGCTGTGTTCCCTCAAGGAGAAGCCAAGCACGTTGCTCCTGTTGAGCGCTGGGTCTAGGGCCGGCCCCCTAGCTCTGCATCCCCAGCTGGGCCCTGCAGGGCAGTGGCAAGAACAAGGGAACCCAGAGTGGGGAACTGAGTCTGATCTCGACTCTGCAGCCCGCTGCTGATTTCCTGGGTCTCTCTTTGTGTAGACACCCAGTGAGGCGAGCTTGCTTGTGAAGTGCAGAGAGCTCCATCCATGGCAGAAATAATTGCTGTCTTGTTTTTCTAGTTCTTGGTTTCTCTGTAAGTGGGAATAGCGCCTGCACACAGGAGGGACCATAGGTAGAGAAGAAAGTGCCTTTTGGCCAGTTACCACTAAGGAATGCTCCACGTGGGCATCGTCCAGTCTTGCTTCAATTCACGTGACTTTTATCAAGGGCTTGTTAAGTGTCACACTTTCTATTGGGTGGGTCAAATGCAAACACCAACAGGGTGACAGTTTATGCTCTTAAAAAATTTATTTACTTGAAAGTCAGAGTTACAGAAAGAGAGGGAAAGACAGAAAGAGGTCTTCCGTCCACTGTCCCAAGTGGCCACATAAGCCAGGAGCCAGCAGCTTCATTTGGGTCTCCTACATGGGAGACAGGGGCCCAAGCACTTAGGGCCATCTTCTGCTGCCCTTCCAGGCCCATCAACAGGGAGCTGGATCAGAAGTGGAGTAGCTGGGACTCAAACTGACACCCATAGGGGGTGCCGATGATGCAGGCAACAGCTTCACTGCTATGCCACAATGCCTTCCCCAGTTCCCACTCTTAAAGGACTCATAACACACATACATTTTTTTCATCAGAAGAAATAATCCAATGTCTGAGAGCTTGTAGTTACAAATAACCCCTGAATAAACGCATGCTTGACTCCTACCTGTGCACCTGAGAACCGTCACTTTAAAAACCCACCTACCTCCTCGATTGTATGGCCAACCTTGTCTTCATATTTTCACCTGTTGGAAATCGGATGCATCTTGTGGCTGGCGGCATGGCCTTCCTTCTTGGTGATAACTTGGGCTCCATGAAACACATCTAGGAAGAAACCCTTTACCACTACCATATTCAATAGATCTGGCAGCCACTGGATCTGACTCTAGATCTTTCCATAACATTTCTAGCCCCTCCGGATGTATGACATCACACAGATCCAGTACTGAACCCCTGACTTCGCCTCACTTTTCACCTTGCTGGCTTGCAGGGAAATGGGAGCTATGGGCCAGGGACGCAGTACCAGCTTTTAGCCACCAGAGGGAGAGCGTGCGCAGGAGAGGGACAGGTTCTCAGTTCTTGGTGGATTTTACTCTTTTAACCTTCCCTGCTTGTCCCCTTCAGGCTAGTGTGCCCCAGCCCTCACTGAAACCCACCTTCAGGGTCAGAATAGAGGAAATGGCCCCATCCTAGAGCTATGCAGCATCAGGGTGGATTGGATCTGATCTTTCAGACTCGCAGACATACGCTCTGGTTTAATGAGCTCCTCCAGGGCGGGAGGACAGGTCCCAGACAGAGCAAGGGGTTCTACCTCCCACAGATTCACAGCTGGTGGGCAGCACTACCCTCTCCCTAAGCCACCGGAGCGTCCTTAGATTTGCGAAGTTCTTTAAGGAAGCATTCTCTCTGGCATCCCCCGGAGCCTTATTCCAATCCTTTCCCTCTTGCTTTCCTTCCTTTAACATGCACTTACTGGACACCTACCACATGGTAGGCACTGTGCTAAAAGCGTGGGACACAGCACTCCCTTCATAGAGCCTCAGTTCTGGTGGCGACACAGGAACCATACACAGAAATATGCAGATCTACTATAAGGAAACTCTTGGGTTCCTGCAGAATATGCTGCGAAGGAAGTTGGGGGATAGGCTGGGATGGCTTCTCTGAAGAGTGATAACTGAGACAAAGCCTGCAGAGCTAGCAGGGGTCAGCCAGGTAAAGAGCAAGATCAGTGGATCAGCATGGCCAGGGCCCGGAGGAAGACAGAGCTCAGCAACAAGAGGCCAGCGTGGAGCCCAGAGCCATGGAGCAAGAGAAGCAGAGGGGGAACTAAGCCGATGGGAGCTTAGGACGCAGAGCCTCGAGCTCCTTGCAAGGGGTGTTTTTTCCTCTGAAACTGTGGAAGGGTTTAAGCAGGGAACTGACAGGGGTGAATCTGGGTACACGTACGAGTGCCCTGCCCCAGGGCACATGGCTCACAGGTCAAAGCTGAGAAAAAGTGATGGGGCTGGCGACCAAGTGAGAGTCACTGGAGAAGTGGCACACAGTGACAGTAGCAGCTGAGTGGTGACCGTTAACACGAAGGTGCATTTTTGAGATGGAGTCACTGCCTTTGCAGAGTGGAGGAGAAGGGGTTGTCTGAAGCAGCTGCTTGCAAGCAGGGGAGGATTTTATTGGGGTGGGTGCTATGCAGGCGGACGGAACCAGGGAGGCAATGTGATGGATTGTTGTAGTCTGGTTAACTTTAAGCTTCTTGAACGTCCCTGTGCAGGCGTAAAGTGGACAACTGAATCTGGTGCTCAGAACAGGGCTGGTGTATTAGATCCGAGAGTTGTCAGCGTGGCATTGGAATACAATGCTCTGGTGAGGGTTGAGACAATAGGATAGGAGCATAGAGGAAGAGCAGGTGACCTGGTTTGGTTAAAAAGCCTGTGAAAGCATTTCAGGCACAGAAAGCCAAGACACTGTGGCAAAAAATGTTCTACATGAAGGATCTCTGTGAGTGACACCCCAGTGGAAAGAAGGGGGCATCAGAAAAGAATGTACTTTTCTCTGAAGGGAGGAGAGAACTTCCACTTTGCTTATAGTCTTGTCTTTTTTTTTAAGGTTTATTTTAAGATTTTTTAATTTATTTATTTGAAAGAGTTACAGAGAGAGGTAGAGACAGAGAGAGAGGTCTTCCATCCACTGGTTCACTCCCCAGATGGCCACAATGGCCAAGGCTGTACCAATCTGAAGCCAGGAGCCAGGAGCTTCCTCCAGGTCTCCCATGTGGGTGCAGGGGCCCAAGGACTTGGGCCATCTTCTGCTCTCCCAGGCCATAGCAGAGAGCTGGATCACAAGAGGAGCGGCCGGGACTAGAACCGGCACAAGTATGGGATGCCAGCACTTCAGGCCAGGGCTTTAACCTGCTGTGCCACAGCGCTGGCCCCTTATAGCCTTGTCTTAATACTGACCGAGTGGCCAGCGCCACAGCTCAATAGGCTAATCCTCTGCCTGTGGCACTGGCGCCAGATTCTGTCCCAGTTGCTCCTCTTCCAGTCCAGCTCTTTGCTGTGGCCCAGGAGGGCAGTGGAGGATGGCCCAAGTCCTTGGGCCCTGCACCTGCATGTGAGACCAGGAGAAAGCACCTGGCTCCTGGCTTCGGATCAGTGCGGTGTGCCGGCCACAGCGTGCTGGCTGCAGCAGCTACTGGGGGGTGAACCAAGGGAAAAGGAAGACCTTTCTCTGTCTCTCTCACTGTCCATTCTGCCTGTCAACAAAAAAAAAAAAATACTGACAGAGTTTGTGGACTCAAAAGGCTTCCGCAGCCAGGCAGCTCATGTCAAGAACCTCAGGTGGTTACTAACATCATACATAAGAATGTTAATTGTTGAATTAGCAGCAGAAGTCACTGTGCACTAACTCCCCATGCAGTACCTCTGTCCTCGATGAGTTGTATTATGAGAGTTAACTGTAAAACTAGTTCTCAAACAGCTGTGTGTGTGTGCAAATTGTTGAACCCTTTACTTAGTATAGAGTTGGCCCTCAGTGTACAAAGTTAATTGAAAAAGAATCTTAATGGAGAATAGGACTGGCAAGGGGAGAGGGAAGAGGAGGAGGAGTGGGAGTGTGGGTGGAAGGGCAGCTATGGTGGAAAGAATAACTGTATTCCTAAAGTTGTAGTTATGAAATTTGTATGCCTTAAAAAATAAATTAAAGGAAAAAAATGAAAGAAACAAGAGCAGGTGACCAGGAACAGGATTCTGTGGGGGAACTTGTATGGGTGGGAGGCGGAGCCAGCCAAGGAGAGGGAGAGGAGGAAGCAGACAGAGGCGCAGGGGTCCAGGAGAGATGAGCGACTCTGAGCGGCCTAGCAAGATGAGAACAGACACCTGATGGATCTGCCCATGTGGAGGTCTTGAGACCTCAGCAAAGCCCATCAGAGCAGAAAGCAGACTGAGGTGGGCTAACAGCAAGAAAAGGAAGCTCCCAGAGCTCAAGTGAATGCAGTCTACCTAGTTCCTGCAGTTGCTATCTGGCCATGTTCATTACTTGATGGAGGTGTGGACGAGCTAGAGGGCTGGGTTCTTCCTGAGTGGGAAGAGCCAGGGAGAGCAAAGGAGGAAAATGATGGGCCATATGGTGGTCAAGGAGAGAAGGGACGACAGGCAGCTGGGGGAGCGAATGGGTGAAGGGGCTCCTGGGGTCAAAGGCCATGTCAGAGGGGACACCCAGCAGGTGGCATGGGGCGGGAGGTGGAGACCACACTCACGCACCTGCCCTTTCCCTCCCCACGGCCTGCCAGATGAGCGATCACTCCCTGAAGCAGATGCAGGACAGCCACAGCAGTCCTCTCCTGCCAGAGCCCTCGTCCAGCAGACGCAAAGCCTACGAATCAGACTTCGCCAGCGCCACCTGGCCCCCAAGCCCCCAGGACACGCACCCCGCGCTGCCCCTCCTGGAAATGCCGGAAGAAAAGGTGAGGACAGGACGTTGGGGGTGGGGGAGGGGAGGGTGGAAAGTGCTGTTCCCCAAGCTTCCCGATGCACTTGTTGTAGGAGGAAGTGCCCCAGCCCAGGGGACCAGGTCCACAGCCAGCACACATGGCTCATCCCCAGGGGTCCTAGCAGCCCTTGGGTAGAAAACGCTACCCTCTTGGAGGGGACGTGATGCTCTTGACGAGTTGAGAAGGCGCTCGTTTACACGCCACAGTCTTTCTCCTCTGACTCACTCTCCCAGATGACTCTGTTATCTCCACAGGAAGGGCTGTAGCGCTCTCTGAACATGGCAGTGCACAAGCAGCACAGGCAGAGGGGCCCCAGGCTGCACAGGTTCCCTTCCTGATATACGGGGAGACTGCAAACAGTTCACAGACATGCAATTAAAAGATACACTTATTTGGGTGCAAACCAATGTTAACATCCATACATACAGGCATCTTCAAAAAGTTTATGTAAAATGCACATGATGAAAAAACTACACATGGATTTCAACTTTTTTTTAAAAGATTTATTTATTTAGTTGAAAGGCAGAGATACAGAGAAAGAAGAGAGAGAGAGAGATCTTCCACCCACTGGTTCACTCCCCAAATGGCCACAATGGTCAGAGCTGGAACAATGCAAAGCCAGGAGCAGGAGCTTCTTCCGGGTCTCCCACATAGGTACAGGGGCCCAATCTACCTCTGCTTTCCAAGATGCATTAGCAGGGAGCTGGATCAGAAGTGGAGCAACTGGGACTTGAACCGGCGCCCATGTGGGATGCTGGCACTACAAGTGGCAGCTTTACCTGCTACACCACAATATAAGCCCCGGATTTTTTTTTTTTATTTGAAAGAGTTACACAGAAAGAGGAGAGGGAGGGGGAGAGAGAGAGAGAGAGAGAGAGAGAGAGAGAGAGAGAGAGATTCACTGATGGTTCACTCCCCAATTGGCTGCAATTGGCTGCAATGACCGGAACTGCGCCAATCCGAAGCCAGGAGCCAGGAGCTTCTTCTGGGTCTCCCACAGTGCCAGCCCCATGGAATCACTTTTTTAAATGTACAAAAATAAACAGGGTTATAAGGAAATTCAGTGCTACTGAAGTGTAGTTATCATCACATTAAAAAGACTTGTGATACATGAGTATATTTAACATTTAAAGAAGTTCATGGACATGGAATTAACACACATGTTTATCTTAATGCAAAAAAATGTTGAAGTCTGGGGCTCAGGCTGGCACTGTGGCTCAGCAGATTAATGCCCTGGCCTGAAGCGCCGGCGACCCATATGGGCGCAAGTTCTAGTCCCAGCTGCTCCTCTTCCGATCCAGCTCTCTTCTATGGCCTGGGAAAGCAGTAGAAGATGGCCCAAGTCTTTGGGCTCCTGCACCCACGTGGGAGACCTGGAGGAAGCTCCTGGCTCCTGGCTTTGGATTGGTGCAGCTCTGGCTGTTACAGCCATTTGAGGAGTGAACCAGAAGATGGAAGACCTCTCTCTCTCTCTCTCTTTCTACCTCTCTCTATAACTCTTTCAAATAAATAAAATAAATATTTTTTAAAAAATATGATTCCATCAGCCCTTAAGGCATTTGGATCTGGCTGAAGAGCCCATGAGAGTATTTCAGGCATGGAAAGCCAAAAGCCAAAACACTCTGGGGGAAAAAAAAAAAAAAACCTAAATGAAAGATCTCCACGAGTGAGATCCCAGTGGAAAGAACAGGTCATCAAAGAAGGAGGTACCTTTCTCTGAAGGGAGGAGAGAACTTCCACTTTGACTATGGCCTTGTCAAAATAAGATCAAAGTCGGCGAGCTCAGGGGGCTTCCATGGCCTTGGCAACTGATGACTAGAGCCTGGGGAGATTGCTGATGCCTTAAACAAGAGAGGCAATTTGTTAAGTCAACAACAGGAGTCATTGTGCACTTACTCCCCATGTAGAATCTCTGTCCTTAATGTGTAGTTCAATGTGAATTAATGATATGACTAGTGCTCAAACAGTATTTGGCACTTTGTGTTCTGTGTGGGGGCAAACTGATGAAATCTTTACTTAATGTATGCTAAACTGATCTTCTGTATATAAAGAGAACTGAAAATGAATCTTGATGTGAATGGAATGGGAGAGGGAGCAGGAGATGGGAGGGTTGTGGGTGAGAGGGAAGTTATGGGGTGGGGGAAGCCATTGTAATCCACAAACTGTACTTTGCAAATTTATATCTACTAAATAAAAGTTTTAAAAAAAATATGATTCCAGAAAGAAGTCCTTAGAACTCACCACACTGCCAAACGGGATCCATGGCCCAAAAATGTTGAGTAATGTCCCCTCAGAGGCAGGTGCTGAGGTCCTGGGAAGGTGATGGAGCTGGCTCAGGGCACACGGGGCAGCATCAGACAGTGGACAGAGGGGTCACTGTTTATCTCACCATCTTTCTGAAATCTTCTTATGGCTTCTCTGAAAAGGATCTTCGGTCGTCTGATGAAGGCAGCCACATTGTGAAAATCGAAAAACTCAATGAAAGGAGTAAAAAGACAGAGAGCGAGGTGCCCCCTCGCGGGTCCTCTGGCCAACGTGGCTTCAGCCTCTTTCAAGCCATGGGCTACCTCACCGGCGAAATGAAGGAGTACAGGAACTGCCTGAAAGGTAGGCCAGAGTGGCCAGCCCAGGCCAGAAGCCACCTCCCTCCACCTCCCTCGCTCCCCGCCCCCTGCCCATGGCAAGGGCTCCCACAGTTGGGAGAAAAGAGACACCAACTCAGAGCTGACTCTGCATGGGTGCAACATACCCAACCAAACTGGGAATCCCACAGTTTCCCAGTGAAATGCATTCCCCGACTTCTGTACACCACATTAGCAACACACAAAGACACTTGAAAAGGCTCATGGAAAACGGAATTGACAAATTTTGAAATCTATGCCTACAAGGGTCCTTCAAAAAGTTTTTATGACAAAAACTATGCATGGGTTTTAAAAGTTTTTGCACCAAAATAAGCTTATCTTTTAATTCCATTTTCCCATGAGCTTTTTGAAGTGCTCTCATATAAGCTTTTCCCCAAATAAGTCATTCCTTCACTGGTTCCACAGCACTTATTATGCATCTACTGTGTGCCAAGAAAACACTGACATCACCCTCCCCAAGGTCCCAGGGGTCTTTTCCTTTGGCTTTGCCCTGAACAAATGCAGCAAGCTCCCCATCCTTACCTGCCTCCCTCCCCACCCCACCCCACCTGCCTCCCTCCTGCACAGGTTGTCCTGGAAACCAAACCCAGGAACAAGCAGAACACTTGTCCCCTCTGCCACCCCTGGTTTTCTATGGGCCCTGACTCAATAACAGTTTTCACAGCTGGGCTACACTGATTTCTTTCCCTGCTTCCTTTCTTCAGGCAACTTGCTGCTCAGCTCACAGTCCTCAACTGAGCCATATCACAGTGCTCAAAGAGCATCCATTCCTCCCCACTCCTTCCCTCCGCAGCCTCCTGGGGCTTCCTTGCCAGCCAAGCCAATGGCTGTAACTGCCTTCAATTGGACCATGCATGGTGTGTCAGCCTGCATGGCAGAAATGACCACCCACTGGAGACGGATCGCTGGGCCACTCGGAGACTGAGCTGGGCACCCACCTCTCCCCACTCCATCCATCCCCACTGCTCCCTTCCCAGACCAGGCTGAATAAGAGACATGCCCTGGCTTCTGCATCCCTGGTTGCCATGGTTGCCATGCCAACCATGGCCCAGCAGGACAGCACAGGCTGGACCCTGCTGATGGTTCTGTGTATCTCTTGCAGACAAGCCCCTGGTCCTCCAGTTCATAGACTGGGTCCTGCGGGGCACAGCCCAGGTGATGCTGGTCAACAACCCTCTCAGTGGACTCATCATCTTCGTGGGGCTTGTCATCCAGAATCCCTGGTGGGCCATTACTGGGATCCTGGGAACAGTGGTCTCCACCTTTACTGCCCTCATCTTGAGCCAAGACAGGTAAGTCCTTGTCTATGGTCCTCTTGGCAGGATGTGTGGGGAAGACAGGTGAAGCTTTGCATCTGTGCAATCAGGCAACCTTCCCCTGCCAACCACCCAAAGTCCCCTGAGTGTCGGCTGTGAGCCAGTCACAGGAACTGCTGGCTCCTGCCCACAGCTAGTGACAGGGCCAGGCTCTGACCGACTGTGGAGCCTTCTGGATGCCGAGGAATGCCTAGGCTGCGCTTCCCTTGAGGAGCCCACAGTCCAGGCCCAGGGGCAGAGACTACCTGGTCACGAGTGTCTCGGAGTAATTTAAGACGGTACGTGAGAGGTGTTCAGAGAGTTCATGAAAATGTGCAGCGTGAAAAAACTATGCACGGATTTCAAATGTTTGCCCCCGGATAGACTTATCTTTCATCCCATTTTCCATGAGCTGGCTGAAGTGCCCTTGTATAACTGAATCCTCAGAGAAGTGAGACATATCTAAGCATTGGGGAGATTAGGGAGGGCAGCCTCGAAGTAAGAACACTGGATACAGCAAGAAGAAGAGGGAGGGGAGGACAGTTGGGAGGGGCCTCAGCAGATGGAGCAGCTGGAGACACAGAAGCGGGCAGGTGGGGAGGAGCCAGCTCTGCTGGGGCCCGGGCACTGCTCTCAAGTCACAACACCAACTGGCATTTTGTAGAATTTGACCATTTCTGCAGACTTTGCCTTCCCAATAGTTCCCAAGCTTTCCTGGTGTCCAGAATCAATGGTATGGTCATTGAGACACACAGCCTCAGCCTGCCCCCTCCCATGTGCCAATTCCACACGTCCCAGAGGGGGCATTCTTACCAAGGGCCTCCCAGGTGCTTCCGATGGTCAGAGAGCCTAGAAAATACTGCATTAGTCCATATCTTAAGATTTTTCAATTTGGTGGTCACCAACCATTTGCAGATCATGGACTGATTGTCAATAGCACTTTAAAAATGAAACCAATAGAATACAATAAAGCTGGTGAGAATCATTCTTGGATAATAAAAGTACAGATGATTTTGGAAAATGTTTCTTCCACTTAATGTGGGGATGTATGTGCTATGAGAGGTGTAGGGAGAGCCAGGTCGGAATAGAAAATTAATTCCTTACAGTGGGCTTCCCTGAAAGCAATTGAAAACACCACCATCCTTTGTTCCAAGGACCCAGTACCACTTCACAAGGCAGATGGTGAAGGCCATGGAACCCACAAGCCAGGGACGAGCCTGGGAGGCTCATCTCAGGTGCCACAGTCAGTGGTGGCAGGCCCCAGGCTCGGCGCAGGATCTGGGTCTTGCTGCCTCCACGGTGACACTTGCATGATCACTGTGGCCTGAAGTCCCTGGTGAGCCTAGAGCATCAGGATGTTCGAACCAACATCACACTCCCTCCAGGCCCACCTGCCGGTCAGCATCCCATCCAGGCTAATGCATGGGTTGGCTCATCTCAGAGAGAAGCTGCCCACATACTGCTAGTGCACCATTCTGGGGCACCAGTCTGCATCTGGCAAGCTGAGAGGCCTCTTAGGTCCATGGATGGGAGGCAGGTCTGGGGATAAGAAGCACCTGGACTCCAGCTGAGACTTCATGTCTGCTTCAACTGGAGGGTCCCTTGTTCTCATTTCCCACTTTCCCCCCCATCTCATCCAGCATCCACTCTGTGCAGGTGCAGAGAGGAGAAGCACTCGGACCTCAGTTACAGAGAACCCCACAGAATGCAGAGTCAAATCTTCCCCCCACCTCCCCTCACTCTACTGCCTGTTTCTCATGTACACAAACACCCTGAGTCAGATTTTGATTACTTAGATTCTTTCTATACCAAGAAGTCTGAGACTCCCTGAGAAACAGAGGAAAGCCACAGACAAGACAAAAGTGCCATCGTTTTAGTTCTACAGCAGCAATGGGAAGCAAAGGGCAGGATGTGTGTGTGTGTGTGTGTGTGTGTGTGTTGTCACTGAGAAAATGATGGCAGCTCTGTGACCACCCAGTTTTCACTAAGTGGGCTGACTCTTGGCTAAGCATTATTATTAAAGGAATCAGCTTAACTAAGCCTAACTTCAGACTCTCAGGAGGGAGGGCCCCACCCAGCAGCAGTGATGTTAACCCTGCTCCACCCCCAGGTCGGCCATTGCCTCAGGACTCCACGGGTACAACGGGATGCTGGTGGGGATGCTGATACCTGTGTTCTCGGAGAAGAATGACTACTTCTGGTGGCTTCTGCTTCCTGTCATCTTTGCAACCATGGCCTGGTAAGGCACCTCTCCCTCTCTCATGAGTCCACAGGGTCCCAAGGCACTTGTGTCTTAGACTGGACAGGGGACAGCACATGTACCATTATGGGGCCCAGTGGCTTCCTAGCCAGGCTGCTTTGTCATGCAAGCTGCCAGGAAAACCTATGAATTCAGTTGCAGCACAAAGGGGTCATTCTGGAATATGGACTAACAGAGACCTTCTAAAGCAAAAAAAGGTCATCTACTTTCTACCATGCTGATCACCTTGAAGGATAGAGTTAATCATGAAGGCTAGCATTCACTGAGTCATTCCTGCACACCCGACACAGCGCTAGGCAGGGTAGGATCATGTTTATCCCCAGTTTGCAGAAGGGAAGGCCAAGGCAGGCAGAGGTTGAATAACATGCCCCGGTGCACACCCAGTAAAAGGCACTCCGAATCCACAGTATGCGCTACTAAACCAATGTAATCCAGGTCACATGGGAATCATCCATTGTGTGGCTTAACCAAGCTCTAAAAGCTGAAAGCTTGCCTGTGATGGAATCACTGGCCTGTATAAAGCATAGAGTCTCTTTTTTTAAAAGAAGATTTTATTTATTTGAGAGGTAAAGTTACAGACAGTGAGAGGGAGAGACAGAGAGAAAGGTCTTCCATCTGCTGGTTGATTCCCCAAGTGGCCACAATGGCTAGAGCTGGGCTGATCCAAAACCAGGAGCCAGGAGCTTCTTCTGGGTCTCCCACATGGGTGCAGGGGCCAAAGTACTTGGGCCATCTTCTACTGCTATCCCAGCCCTTAAACAGGGAGCTGGATTAGAAGAGAAGCAGCCAGGACTAGAAACGGGTACCCATATGGGATGCTGGCTCCCCAAGTGGAGGATTAACCTACTGTGTCACAGCATCAGCCCCATGCATAGTCTTTGAACTGGAAGCATTGCTTGGAGTCCTACTGGACAATCACCTCCTCTTGCAGTTAGACTTAAAAGTCACTGCAGAGTGTCTGAGGGTCCCAGTAGTGTGCTATCACCGCGCTTGCTGCTGTCACGGTGAACCCTGTCCCCAGCTCCTGACTTCACGTGTCTGCGCCTCCCTGTTCTCGGCTCCTCTCAGACATGCTGATTTATTCCTGTTCTCAGCAATAAATCAGACTCAGTGATTTATTTTTAACATTTCTAAGAAGGAAATATCTTTCTTTGGTTTCAAAGTCTGGAGTTATGAAAAACAGTTAGCTTAATTTAGCTTAAGGACTGTTTCATTACTTTTTAGTAGTGCTTGCAAATAAATTACTACATTAAGGATTCTGGGCAATTTATTTTTCTTCTGAGGGTTTCTTTATTTCTTAATCCATTGGGACAAAATGCCAAGGCAGCCATTTTCTGTGAAGGTTTCCTTAAAGCCCCCCACATGCCTTTGCCCTTGTGTGAGGAGAATTTGTCCTCATTGGCATACATTTGATTTATGAGTACATGGATTAAGCCCCTCTGGACAGCCCCTCGGCCACATTGCACCAGGTGGCTGTTAGACCTCACTGCCCCCACCTCCACGTCCCAGAGTAAAAGACAGAGTTGGGCATTTGGCCTAGTGGTTAAGACACTCACATCCCAATTCCTCAAATCAAAGTGCCTGGGCTCAACACCAGGCTGTGCTTCTGATTCCAGCTTCCTGCTCCTGTGGTCCCTGGGAAGCAGCAGTTGATGTCCCAAGCACTTGGGTATCTGCTACACATGTGGGAGACCCAAACTAGATTCCTAGCTCCTGGCTTCAGTCTAGCCTAGTCCTGGCTATTGCAAGCATTTGGGGACTGAAACAACAGAAAATCTCTCTCTGCCTCTCTCTCTCTCTCCCTCTCTCTCTCTCTCTCTCAAATAAATAAATACACAAATAACTTTGTTTTAATTAAAAATATAAGCAAACATTGACACCCTACCCTGGGCTGAGCTCTGTGTTACTGCTCCAGTACATTCATTAGACCATTCATGTAGTTCTCAAAATTCAAACAAAATGCAAGGTAGGTATTTATGGTGTTATTTTTCCAAATTTCTCCATGCAACAAACTTTTTGAGTGCCTGGGTTAAGTTGCTGAGTACAAGGACCATTCTACTGTCAGGGATAGTTACAGATACAAACACGAAAAGTCTCTCCTCTTGGAGTTTGCACTCTTCCTGGCAAAAGTAGAAATAAACTCATAAAGTAGTTAATTTAAAAAGGATCATTTTGAGGTGTGATAAGTGCCTTGAGGAAAGCAGAATGGGTAAATAGGACAAAGAGTGATTTCAGACTTGGTGATCAAGCAAGGCTCTTTTGCAAAGGAACTTCTGAGCTGTCTCCTACATGATAACAAGGCATCTTCCATCTGAAGATCTCAGTGGAGGATGGCACAGGCAGAAGACTCCAGTGAGAGAGGTATGGTCTGTTCAGAAAACAGAAGCGGCCGGCGCCGTGGCTCACTAGGCTAATCCTCCGCCTGCGGCGCCGGAACCCCAGGTTCTAGTCCCACTTGGGGCACCGGTTCTATCCCGGTTGCTCCTCTTCCAGTCCAGCTCTCTGCTGTGGCCTGGGAGGGCAGTGGAGGATGGCCCAAGTGCTTGGGCCCTGCACCAGGAAGAAGCACCTGGCTCCTGGCTTCAGATCGTCGCAGCACGCCAGCAGTAGCGGCCATTTGGGGAGTGAACCAACGGAAGGAAGACCTCTCTCTCTCTCTCTCTCTCTCTCACACTGTCTAACTCTGCCTGTCCAAAAAAAAAAAAAAGAAAACAGAAGCAAGACCAGTGAGACTGAGGCCAGTGAAGAGAGAAGCGGCAGGGACTGCAGGTGGAGAGTAAGGCAAAGGCTGGGCCCCATATGTGCTGTAGATTCAGTCAGTCTTCTGGTTTTTAAAACAACTGTGATAGGAAGCAGTTAAAGGGTTTGAAGCAGAGGAGGGAGATACAGCTTAAACTCCAACAAATAACTCTGCTTGCAGTGTGGAGAGCAGACTCCAGCTGGAGCAAGAGCAGATGCTGGAAGGCTGCCCAGGAGCCTGCCATAGTAACCCTCAGAGGGGCGAGAGCGGCTTGGACGTGGATGCTATCTGTGGTGTGGCCAGCGTGCTTGAGGGTGAGGGGTATTTTAAGGTGACAGAGACAACAGGACTTGCCTGGAGGCTGTGGAAGACGAGACAGAAAAAGGAAAGAAGATTTAATACAGTGTCATAATTTCCCCCAGCCCTTGGTTATGGACCAGACTAACAGAAAAACACACTTGTGGTGGGAGATGGGCGCCAAATAAGAGCTGTTTGGGCATTTTGTACTTCAGCTGTCCAGGCAGAGATTTTGAGAAGGTGATCAAATACACAGGTCTTGAACTGGGTGGTGTGAGGATGTGGAGCAGAAAGAAGGTATGTCATCCATGAGACTACACAAGCTCACCACCGGACAGAAGACTTTTAAAAAGAGAAAAGATCTAGGACAGAGCTGTAGGGTCTTCAGACATTTAGATGTCTGGCAGAAAAGAGGGAAAGCCATCGAAAGATCCTGAGAATGAGCTAACAAGATAAAGTCCACTGCGATGGTAGTCAGAGGAGAAAGTAATTCAGTACAGTGGGCGGGCCCATTGAAATGGGACAGGGAATAGCTAAGATTTGGCAAGACAGGTGCCATCCACAAACTGGCCCAGAGCCATTTGTGTGATGTAATGAGAAAACATTATCTAATGAGATTGGTTTTGGGAATGTGTAGGAGCGGAAGGATTGAGGAGGCAAAAACAGATGAATTTTTGAGGAGTACAGCTGAGAAGAGGGGCAGAGGAGGAGGCAGTTACTGAAGTGGACTTCGAGTTAAATGAAGAAGATTTTTCAAGGTAGAAGATACTAAAGCATGTTATATAGTGATGAGAATAATCTGGAGAAAAGGAAGTGTTGAAGCCACAGAAGGAAGAGGAAAATGTTACAGGAGTGAAGTCCGTGACATGATAGATTGGAGCCAAAACCCCTTCACCCTCCTGATGAAGCAGCAGAAAAACTTCCATCATATGAAAAAGGCAGAGGGTCCAGTACAGTGAGCTAAGCTGCTCCTTGCAGTGCCGGCATCTCATACTGAAGTGCTCGTTCAAGTCCAGGCCGCTCTGTTTCCAATCCAGGTTCCTGCTAATGTGCCTAGGAAGGCAGCAGAGGATGACCCAAGTATTTGGGCCCCTGCCACCCACATGAGAGACCCATCTTTGGCCTGGCCCAGCCCTGGCTGTTGAGGCCCTTTTGGGGGTAAACCAATGGTTGGAAGTTTCTCTCTCTTTCTCTCTCTCTCTCTCTCTCTCCCCCCACCTTTCAAATAAGTAAATAAATCTTTTAAAAAAACAGTCAAAAAAAAGGCAGAGAGGCAGGGGACGTGGGAACAAAACCAGCAGCAGGTGTAGGAAAACAAAACATTTCTCATCTCACCACTTCCGCCTTCTTGATGAAATAAAGCCAAGTGGTTGGTTGAGAGTGAAGAGAAGCAGACAGCCAAGACTTGAAGGGAAAGGTGAAAATTTTTAAATAATTTTCCTAGGTAGTAGGGTTTGAGGCAGTCAGAAGTACCCATTTGAGATTCATACTCATTAATTAAAGGTAGACCATTCAACCAGATTGTGTGATGTCCTATTTTGTGCAGAAGTTCACAGAGTATGGGAGATGGGAGATGTTAAGAATAGGGTCCATTTCAAGGGAAACTTAAATTTAACAGAGATGAATTGTCTGGTGTTGCTCACTCAACCTTTAAATGTAGGAATTGGGATTTGCATCCTGTTCTGTCTCCAAAATCCATGCTCTTTCCAAGGAAGAGGCCAAAAAGACACAAGGTACAAGCGACCAAAAGTTCCATTTGCATATTGATAGCTCCCAGTATTTTTACTGCATTACCTCCATGCTCTGGCAGCCCCCTCCTAGAAGGTCAGATTCCAGCCCAGGACAATAATCGTTGTACAACTTGATGATCCAAGAACAATCTTTACACTTTGTAAGGATCACATTCAGTTTAGTTTTCTTGGAAAATATTTAAATTATATATAAAGCAATCTACTTAAAATGAGTTATCTTTTTAAATATTTTTCTCACAAGGGCAAGCTTAAATTGAATATTTCATTTCCAACCTCAAGTCAATGGATCACTAGAATTTCAAGGGAGCCAGAAATGGGTGTGTCAGAGAGAAGGGAGGAGAGCCCAGTGGCTGAACATATACGTAAGAATAGTCACAGACTTAACCCTGTTCCCCTTCCATCCTCAGCCCAGTTGTTTCGAGTGCCTTGAATTCAGTCTTCAGCAAGTGGGACCTCCCAGTCTTCACCCTGCCCTTCAACATCATATTGACCACATACCTGACAGCCACTGGCCACTACAACCTCTTCTTCCCCACAACACTGGTAGAGCCTGTGTCTTCAGTGCCCAATATCACCTGGACAGAGATCGAAATGCCCTTGGTAAGTTCCCCAGTGGTGATGAGTACAGACCCTCAAGTCCTACCAGGCCCTCTCTCTAACCAGTCTGTGGATTCCCAGGCTCTCAGCTTCTCTAGAAGCATCCCTTAAAGATGGTGGACCTCAGAAATTTGACCATATCCATACATCCCTTCCACAGATCTTTACTGAATATCTAGTATGTGCTGGGCATTTGTTCAGATACTGGGAATACATGAGGAGTAAAGCACTCTAGCCCTTATGAAACCAATGTTCTACACAGGGAAATAGATAACAAACAAGTGAATAGATAAGCATTAAGTTGACAATATAGACTGGTGGTAGTTGAAGGGAAAATGTTAGATAGGATGGTTTGGTGAAGGGACAAGAGATCAAATTAAATTTTAAAATTAGGGTTTTAAAGGTATTATCAGTAGAAGATAGGGGTGAATTTTCATATGTTTCCTGTATCGGTGGTGCTCAAGCCAGGACCATGTTGTCCCTTGGGGACATTAGGCAATGTCTGGAGACATTTTTTATTGTCAAGTCTGGAGAGGTGTTACTAGCACCTAGGAAGTAAGTAGAGGCCAGAGATAATTCTAAACATTCAACTTGCACAGGTAAGCTACTCCTCACCTCCAACAAAGAATTATAAAATCCAACATGTCAATGCAGCCAAAGTTGAGAAACTCTGTCTCCTACCCCACTGTCACAAACACACATATTCATTTAGTCTACTGATCTCTGGACGCTGAGGATAAAGGACTGTAATCAAAATCTAACTTAAGATTAAATTTAGAGCGGTGCCGCAGCTCACTAGGCTTGCTGCGCCGGCACACCGGGTTCTAGTCCCAGTCGGGGCGCTGGATTCTGTCCCAGTTGCCCCTCTTCCAGGCCAGTCCTCTGCTGTGGCCAGGGAGTGCAGTGGAGGATGGCCCAAGTCCTTGGGCCCTGCACCCCATGGGAGACCAGGAGAAGCACCTGGCTCCTGCCATCGGATCAGCGTGTTGTGCCGGCTGCAGCGCACCAGCCTCTCTCACTGTCCACTCTGCCTGTCAAAAAAAAAAAAAAAAGAAGAAGAAGAAGAAGAAGAAGAAGAAGAAGATTAAATTTATTGAATTGTAAATTTTGGCCTTGTTCATGAATGTAGAGATAGCCAAGAGCTAATATCAAAGCAAGTTTATTGTGTTCCAAGACCTTAACATATTAACTCATTTAACTTTCATAATAACCTAATACTGCTGGCATTATCCCCATTTTACAAATGAGAAAACAACAGCACAAGACAGTTAGTAGCCCAAGGTCAAACTATATGAGTGCCTGTGCTTAAAACTCAGACAGCCTGACGCAGGTGGTTCAAAGCATGGGAAGTCCTCCTAACCCAAGGCAGGACACACACCGTGAGACAAAACTCCCTGCTTCTCAATGCAGACCACCCCATCTTAGGGTATTTTAGGTGTCTGCAAGTTCCCTGCATTCCTTGGAAATCCATCTCCCTTTTTCTTTCACCCCCACTAGTCTAGCACTACTTTCTAGAGTAGTCCAGAATGTTGGTCTGCAGTAGTAATGTTAGTATTTGAAAACAAACTGTACCCTCAAATACCATTTGTGTGATGAAATTGCAGAGCCCTTACTACCCAGCCATGCACCGAAACCTCACACGGCTCTGCTGCCGGCACAGCACCCCAGGACTACCATTCAGGGTCCCGCAGGGACAACCACACTCTGAACCTAAACCCAGGTGGGCATTTGGATCAGCAGTTAGGTTGCCCACTAGGATGTCTGCATCCCACATCAGATTTGACACCTGCCTCCAGCTCCTGAGTCCAGCTTCCTGCTACTGTGCACCTTGGGGGCTACTGATGATGGCTCAAGTACTTGGGTCTTTGCCACCCACAGAGGAGACCCAGATGGAGTTCCAGGTTCCTGGCTCCAGTCTAGTCCGTAACTGGCCATTGCAAGCATTTGAGGAGTAAACCAAAAGATGGTAGTTTATTCTCTCTCTCCCCCCACCCTTAAATAGTGTTTTTTTTTTTATTTAAACTTAAGCCATCAGAGGAGTAACCACTCCAAAACACTGCTACAAACAGCACAAAAATCTACTGCTTTCATCTTTTAAGTTTTGTCCAGGGCTGAGGCTTTAGCCACAGTTGTGTTTCAACCCAAAGAAACAGAAAAGACAGAACTCTTGCCTTTAGGGAAAAGCCCACCTCAGGATATGGAAAATGGCCAGAGCAGGTAGAACTGGGACAAAACTCTCAGCTGACGAATGGTCAAGGATCAGCCACCCAGCAATTAGGCCAACTGCCTTTGGGTGTAAGGACCCACAATCCCTGAACTACCTAGAGGTATTGTCCAACTGACAGCTACAGGCCTCCCAGCAGAAGGGTCTTGTGTGCTGTAGGTCAGAGAGAAGTCTCTTGTCCATGTTCAAGATGGCCACTTGTAACATGGTTGGACCTAACCCTGGGTCCCCTGAGGCCCCAGTTCACCCTCTCCTCACCCCACCAGCCCATCTTTCCAACAGTCAGCTTCCTTCTCTTGCACTCCTCCCCAGCCTGAACTTTGAAGAGTAGTTGCCATGTCCTTCCTGCTCTGTCAAACGACAGGGTGCAGTGGCTTCCTTTTTGTTTACCCTGCTTGCTGTTGTTACATGAGAGTATCAGGAGGACAGAAGAGGCTGGGTTCTCGGTAAATTTCCACCGCACACCTGACTGCCCTTCAGCACAGGGTGTCTGCTGCGGCCAGGAGTGCAGCGTGGAGGAGGGCAGGCTGCCCGGTGCACAGGTCACCAGGCTGAAATATGGGTCCCAGCAGACAGAGCTTCATTCTAAACCCAGGCTCCATTCCAAGGCCTCTTGTTCCCTCATTCTTCTCATTCTTGACTGCTTGGGCTGAAAACCCATGTTCCTGGATGGAAAGGTGGAAGCTGGACTGCCCTCAGCACCCCACATTCCTCAGAGGTTGACAACCCATGGAGATATTTTGAGTAGACTTCCAGCCTGTTCCCCATAGGTAAGCTGAGTTCCCAAGTACCACAAATAAGACTGGATTCCACCATTCCATTCCTTTCACAAGTTTATGGGTTCTGGTCCAGTGCCGCCCAATTGCAGACAAGGACAGCAAAGCAGCGTGCCAGCTCTCTGGGACCCCCATAACACTGTTCCCTAAAGAAATCAGATTGGTTCCAGAATTAACTTGTTTAAAAGTCTAAAATTTCGGAGCAGGTGTTTGGCACAGAGATTGGGACACTTACATCCCATATCCATCCCATATCAGAGTGTCTAGGTTCTGGTTATGGCTCTGCTTCTGATTCCAGCTTCCTGCTAATGCACACCCTAAGAGGCAACAGACAACAGCTTATCTATTTACATCCCTGCCACCCATTTGGAAGATCCAGACTGAGTTCTGGGCTGCTAGCTTCGTCCTGGCCCAGTCATGGCTGTTACAAGGATTTAAGGAGTGAGCTTACAGGTGGCAGATTCTCTCTCTCCCTCCCCACCGCCTTCTCACCCTCTTTTTCCCTCTCTCCCCCTTTCTCTGTATATCCCTCTCCCTCTCTCTCGCTCTCTCTCTCTTTCACATAAATGAATCCACAGTTCAATATTAAAATAATATTTTAAGGGGCCAGTACTATGGTGCAGCAGGTTGAAGTCCCAGACTTCTTATGAAGTACCAGCATCTTATGTGGGTGATGGTTTGAGTTCTGGCTGCTCCACTTCCAATCCAGCTCCCTGCTAATGCGTCTGAGAAAGCAGCAGAGGATGGACCAGGTCCTTGAAACCCTGCGTGCACACATGGGAGACCTGGAAGAAGCACCTGGCTCCTGGCTTCAGATGGGCGCAGCTCTGACCATTGCAGCCATTTGGGGAATGAACCAGCAGATGGAAGACCTCTCTCTCTCTCTCTCTCTCTCTCTCTGTACCTCTCTCTGTAACTCTGTCTTTCAAATAAATAAAATAAATCTTTAAAAAAAGAATATTTTAAGTAAAAATTTTAATCTAGAGAGGTAATTCCAGTTAGCTTCCCATATCTACCATAGATTATCTATAACTAATCCCCAAACTGCATGTTAGACTCACCTGAGGCCTGGGTCATGCCCCACACCTATCAAATCAGAATGCTCAGGGAGGGATCAGGCAGCACTATTTTTTTTTTTTAACAGGCAGAGTGGACAGTGAGAGAGAGAGACAGAGAGAAAGGTCTTCCTTTGCCGTTGGTCCACCCTCCAATGGCCGCCGCGGCCGGCGCGCTGCAGCCGGCGCACCGCGCTGATCCGATGGCAGGAGCCAGGAGCCAGGTGCTTTTTCCTGGTCTCCCATGGGGTGCAGGGCCCAAGCACCTGGGCCATCCTCTACTGCACTCCCTGGCCACAGCAGAGAGCTGGCCTGGAAGAGGGGCAACCGGGACAGAATCCGGCACCCCAACCGGGACTAGAACCCGGTGTGCCGGCGCCGCTAGGTGGAGGATTAGCCTAGTGAGCCACGGCGCCGGCCAAGGCAGCACTATTTTTAAAAAGATCCCAATCTGACTCTAGTGTACAGCAATTTTGGAAGCCACTAAGTTACTCAGTACATATTTATTAAGCACCCTTCACGTGCCCAGCCATCAAGAGCCCTGCCCTCAAAGAGGTCCTATGACCCAGTAATGGAGAACAGAATGAGAGAATTATTGAGCTGGAAGATCACCTGCCAGGCCAGTACACAAGCAGGACACCATCACCCAGAGTGAGCAAGTGACATGCCCCTGCTTGCACAATGCACGCATACAAAGCACCCTGGAAGCTGGAGCTCTCGACTCCCAGGCCTGCGCTCTCCCTGTCCTGCCATTCTCCCCATTCCTTTGTGCTCATAAGGGACTGCAAAAATATGGATGGGTCAGCTGAGCCAGAGAAACACCATCTGACATCATTGCCGACTTAACTGACAGTCCCAACTGATAGTTACCACTGATAGCCCCCGCGCCACCAGTCACTCTCAGGCTCAGGGATGTGTGGGCCTCGTGAGTTCTCTCCATGATCCACACAGTACTTTTCTGCCATGCTAAGCACTCCTTGAGAACAAAGAAAACGACTTCTCCTCCTTCCAAGTTGGCTCTGAATGGGCAGCAGCCACCACAGAGGACGTGTCAACAGAGGCTTGCTAGAGACCTTAGACTAGGGGTCAAGTTCAGAGGCTCTAGCTTGTACCTGACTTCCAGGAAGCTGAGTGACCTTTGGTTGAATCATCCATCACAATGGCCTAGAATATTTCCAATATTTCTGGAATATTTCCAGGATTCCAGAAGCTCTGGAGGGAATCTGCTAGTGCTCTGAAACCCACAATGGCAGAATAGTGATGAGGGATATTCTGGTCCACTCCAAGCTTCTCTTCTTAAAGCAGAAGCCATGTGTTCCTCAGAAGCACCCAGGCCCAGCCCATGTGCTGAGGGCCCCCCTTGGCTTTGCAGGAGGGATGCTCAGATGCCTGGCTGGTGCTGGAGTGCGGAGTCATTTGTTCCAGCCTGTGCCTTCCCCTCCTGTTCTCTCACCTTGGCCAGCACCAGCCATTTCTTGTTCCACCCTGTTACCCAACCCCAGCAATGGCTCAGCCCTGGCCTGGGGGCCTGCTCTTTGCATATTGGGTTCACGCTCCAGTAACCCGGATTCTGTTGACTTTGCAGCTGTTACAGGCCATCCCTGTCGGTGTCGCCCAGGTGTACGGCTGCGACAATCCCTGGACAGGTGGTTTGATCCTGGTGGCTCTGTTCATCTCCTCGCCACTCATCTGCTTGCACGCAGCCATTGGGTCCATCGTGGGGATGCTGGCAGGTAGGACAGCACCCCGTCACTCCAGTAAGGCCCTCTGGCCAATTTCCCAGACGTCATTTCTCCCTGGCACACAGTAAATCTTCTAGACGTACGCTCTTCCCCCAGAGTTTTAAAACACTGTCAGGGGTAAGGATTTATCGTTCTCTCTCTGAAGCTCCAAAGGTTGCAGATTGCAGCCAGAGGACACGTGGAGAGGAAACCCACGGAGTCTGCAAACTGAACCCCTGCCCCTGAGGGCAGAGGAGTGGAACGGGGAGGGGGCGAGGAACAGTAACAGACCAAGCTGGGCAAAAGTGGCCTGGCACCTGGAAATTTTGAGTAAGCTGGAAAAGGCTTTCCCGAAGTTGGATTGCTGTTTCTCAAATGGGATTTCCTTTTCCTGCATCTTTGTATATATAAGCCACTACACACCCATCTATATCACGATGCTCTTTCTGACAGCAGGGTCAGATGATGGAGCAGGGGGCACTGGGAGGAGAAGCCTGATTTTTATTTCATCCAATGTTTTCCAAAAACTTTGGGAAGTATACCTTTGCTTTCTCTTTGCATTGGCATTCATTTCAACTCTTCCAAAAATTTCAAAAACAAAAAGAATGCAAGAGGCACCCATAAGTTCTAAATCCAGATGCATAGCCTATTTCTTTGGCTGTAACTTTCTTCCACATTTGAGGGGGTCTTCAAAAAACTCATGGACATGAGATAACTATACATGGATTTCAAAAATTTTTTTTGCACCAAAATAAATTTAGCATTTAATTCCATTTTCCATGAGCTTTTTGTAATACCTCCATATACATATATGTGAATATACATAACTTTCCTGAACCATTTGAAACAGAACTTTTTTAAAATTAAAATATTTCTTTCTAAAAAAAATGCAGTTGCTCTGGCCAAAGGAGCAAGAAGGGACTAGAGTTCCACCTCCTTGTCTTCCCCTCACCCAGAAAGCTGTCTGACCTCAGAGTGAAACCTCCAGCTTTGAAAAGGAACTTGAAAACCACTGTTCTCTTCCTATCCTTGGTTTCCTTAGACTCTTGGCAGAGTCCCCTTTGATAAGCAGAGTTGGAGGTGTGGGGTGAACAGCAGAACAGAGGCCACCCTGAGACCTGGTGCCAACCACAGGGTGGCTCTCATTCTGTGGCCCAGACCCAACCAGACACACCACACCTTGTCCCACAGCTCTCTCCGTGGCCACACCCTTCCCATCCATCTACATGGGTCTCTGGAGCTACAACTGTGTCCTCTCCTGCATCGCCATTGGGGGCATGTTCTACGCGCTCACCTGGCAGACCCACCTGCTGGCCCTCTTCTGCGGTAAGTATTCAGAAAAGCTGACAACCAACTCACTCTGATTAAGCCTTCCCTCAGGTTATGTGAAATCCATGGTGACCACTGAAGTACTGAGCAACAGTGACAGAAGGACCACTTGCTTGGGGCCTAACGCCAATGCTGCCTTTAACAGCTGGGGCACTTGTGGTTCTTCCTGTCCAGTGGGGTCACCACCACCTCATGGTCTGGCACAGACACACTGTTGTGAAGTATACAAGGACATCGCATATGCATTTCCTGTGTGCTACAACTCTTTGTTCAACAGTTGTTTCTAGATGGCCACACCAGGTCTTAGGCTAGACAAGGAAGATACGCTGGTGACCACATCTTTATGATGCCACAGGCTAGTAGAAGAAAAGTAATTGTACAAATTATTATTAAGGCTGTGGTATCTGCAAGGATTGTTGGAAAGACCCAATGAGCTGATGTCCCTGGGAGAACTGAGACCTCAGATAATCATAGGGCGATGTTATGGAAGCTTGATTTCCATCCAGGAACTAGAGAATGTGCCATCTGACAAGAAATCAGCCAGTCCTTAGTGTCCCCCAGCACCAAGCTCTGTCTTATGTAAGTATTTGAACTCACTTAGTCCTCCCAAGAATACCACCAGGCATAGATAGTCAGCCCCCTTTAACAGGAGAGGAAATGAGACTCAGAACAGTTAACGAATTTGCCCCAGAGCACAGCTATCCGTGGTAGAAGGAATGGGCCAACAACCAGTCCCGTCTTTCCATCAGCTTTCCTCTCCTGGAGTTCTTACATTCCCTGGAAACAGCAGGAAAGGACTTGAATAAGTAAAACTAAAGACAAGTAGAGGGCAGAATAGCATCTGGAACAGCTGCACTTTGCTTTTCCCCACTTAGTGTAGAAGCAGTAAATGACTTCCATGTCCCTTGTATCCCCCTCAACAGCCAGCATGAAGCCAGGCATGGAGACAGGGGGCTTGGTAAATATTTGTAGAAAAGTGCCACATGTTGGGGGGCTCAGACTGTAGGCACCATTGACCTTCCAAGAAGGGCAGGGTAAAGTGGCTGGAACTGCCTGGGAAGGCCTCGGGAGAAGCCGGGGTTTATCTCAGCACTTCTGGGTAGTGATAGACACAGAGAGAAGGGTAAAGTGTTCTGAACAGAGGAGAAGGAAAAGGTGCTTGTCCAGAGGTGCCAGCAGGGTAGACAAATCCCTCAATATGCTTGGGGCCCAGCTTCTGCAGGTGAACCCCACTGCTTGGCTCCTGGGGACTGGCTCAGGTGCCCACCAAAGTCCAGTCCTGATGAGACTTAGAGAAGGTCGAACAGCACAATAGCAGCTCGACCTCTGAGAGAGAAGGGTCCTCTGCTCATATAACATGCAACCATTCTCTTCCCTGGAATAAATCACCCAGCTTGGCCTAACCCATCCTCAAAGTCAGTGGGAACAAGCAAGAGATGGTTCTCCTCCCCAGACTCTATGCAGGGTCACCATGAAAGCAGAGAGAGAATTAAGGATATATGACTTCTCTCTACATCCAGGGAATGCAAAGTCTGGTGGGAGATGGGCCACACCTGCCTGCAAAGGTAACTAATAGTATAGTGTCAGGCAAGCATTCCCAACGAAGGGTATGGAGCAGACGCTGGGGCTACAGGAAGGAGAGGGGACCCCTGCTCTTGGTCGGAGCTCCCTGTCCTGCCATGAGAAAACATGGGAAGCTGGGAAGCTGCCTCTAATGGTCCTTATTCCCCCACAGCCCTGTTCTGTGCATACATGGGAACAGCCTTCTCCAACATCTTGGCAGTGGTAAGTTTGGATCCCCCTGAACACCACCCTAAAAGGCCCTTCCCCGCCAGACTTCTGGACGTTGAAGAACTCACGGAAGTCTCCTGAATGTGTTATGGTTCCTGGTATTCTGCTCAATGCCTCTGTCAGGGTTCATCCAAGGTTTGTCCAGAGAAGGACTGGCCATCTGGTACATGTGCCTCTAGGGTGTGTGTGTGTGGTGGGCAGATGGGTTGAAAGAAAGAGAACACAATATAACTAAGAGTAGGGAACAGGAGCAGGCAGATGGGACTGGAAGTGGGAAACTGTCCCTGGGTCCATCTTTCAGCTCCATCCTTAAAGGAGTCTGTGCCCAAAGATACCAACATCTGAGATTCCTTGACCAGCTACTCTGACATTCTGAATCCAGAAACACCAGTGCCTCGCTGGAGAGGCTCTCCATCATCAGCACCCACCACATCCTTCTCCCCCAGAGTTCCCGGCCCCACACAGGAGTTTGGGAACACTCTTCAGACCCCACACTTTTATTTCCAGATTGGCGTGCCATCAGGCACCTGGCCATTCTGCGTGTCCTCCCTCATCTTCCTCCTGATGACGACCAACAACCCTGCCATCTACAAACTCCCACTCAGCAAAGTCACCTACCCAGAGGCCAACCGCATCTACTACCTGACAATGAAGAGCAGTGAAGAAGAGAAGTCCCCAAGTGGTGACTAGCCAAGCCCCAGGCAGACCTGCCCTTTGCCTGCAGCTAGGGTCTGCCCCTGGGATCTCAGCTCTGGACCAATCAGCTGCCGCACTCCGCTTCTTTGCCTGCCCTTGCCTCTGTATCGAATCAAACACAAGTGTAACTCCCTTGCCCTGAAAGCTGATTGTCTCTCTCTGCCCAAGTATCTATTGTGTGACATTAAAGGAAGTTGGTTATGAGCTTGCCAGAGGTAGAAGCCAGCAGTGTCTTTTACCTATTGTTGGTTTAGAACAAAAACATTCGTTAATCTTTTGGGAAGGTGAAGAACAGATGCTGTGAAATTGAGCTTGCTGAGTGGTTCTCAGGCAGACACACGGTGGGCATGTCAGGGAGACCTGGTAGAGAGGGAGCACCCTAGAATGCAGAGAGATGGCTGGTGGGCACGTGCAGCTTTACACGGAAAGGAAAGGTCACACTGTTGGAGTTGTCAAGTCAAACCAGGCACAACTGGGACACTAAAAATGCTGAGTAAGGGGTCTGGGGCAATCGTGTTTTCCATTCCTCTACAGCTTACTGCCCTTTTCCAAGCGCCCATGATCAACAGGGTATTTCTCTATTGTTATATGAAACCAGAGGCCAAACAGCTTACCCTGGCCAGAGACCCCATTTCTCCAATGCTCCTTCCCCACCCGTAGGAACTGAAGCTTCAATACTTTCCCTCTTCCCCTTCCCACTGCCCCAGTGCTTACAATACTGCACTTCTGCAGTCATGCCCCACCCCTACATTTTGCTGAGGTCGATTATTGCTTTTCATTTTCTTGTCTTGCAATATGCCTCTTCTCTTTGCACATATCTGTGTTCTGCCCTACCTCACCATTTCCCAAAAATTCTGCACTGTTTGGAGATGATTGTAAGTGGATGTGCTACCTTTATCCCTCTTTGTTCTTCATCTTCCATCTTGTGGTCTCTGTTCTGGGTCACCTGTTACTAGTTTATTTTATTTACTTGAAAGGCAGAGAGACAGAAACAGAAAGAGATCTTCCATCCACTGTTTCACTCCCCAAATGGCCACAAAGGCCAGGACTCCGCCAGGCCAAAGCCAGGAGCCTGAAGGTCTATACAGGTCTCCCACATGAGTCCCAGAGGCCCAAGCACTTGGGCCATCCTTCCACTGCTTTCCCAGGCACATCAGCAGGGAGCTGGATCAGAAGAAGAGCAGCCTGAACTCGAACCAGTGCTCCCATATAGGATGCCAGCATCAGAGGGAACAGGTTAACTTGCTGTGACAAAATGCAGCACCTTTACTTGCTTAACATTCTTTCTTGAGCATTTTATTCAAATAACATTTGAGGTCATATGATTGGCATGTGCTCTGACTGCATGTCCACAGAGTTTCCCTCCTTGGATGTGGGTGTGGAGTCCCTGGGGGGCAGTCTTGGCCCTTCATTGTCTGTAGATGTTGTTCCTTCCTTTCTGGCTTCTGAGTGCTACCTGTGAGGAAACTGATACAATCTCATTCTCCCTTGGTAATAGCCTGTTCTTTCTTCCTAGATGATCTTAAAATGTTCTCTTTATTTTTGGTATTCAGGAATTTTATGGAGTTAAGCCTACAAGTATGTCTTTTCTCTTCAATCCTGCCTTTCAATCTGCAAACACAAGTCTTTCTTCAGCTCAGCTACTTTTCTCCTACTATTTGGTTGTTATTGCTTTTCCTCCATCTTTTCATTTCTCTCCTCTGGAACTTCTATATCAAGAGGTTAGGCCTCTTTGATGTCTGTGATCTCTATTCCAAGCTGCTACTCTTCCTCTTCACAATTTTTACTACTGGTGATTTTGCTCTGCTTTGAGATGTTTCTTCCTCTTTAATCTTCCAGTCCACTGATTCAAGTCCAAACTTTCAACACACTGATGTTTTAAATGCAAAAATATCATATTTGGGGGTTCATAAAATCCTCAGGATGGGAACTAAAAGTGAATCTGTGTATGTTTTATTCTTTTGCTGTTGTCTGTATCTTCTTGTTCCCCAAATCAGACACAGATTCTGGTAACTTGTGACCCCAAACTTCTGCCCAGTCCCATTATTCTATCCCAGATGGGTTCTTGTTTTGGCTGCCCAGGGCCATGTGTCAACTTTCATGAGCTACAAAACTCTGCCTTGAGGCCTGACCTCATTCACTCATTCACCCAGGAGACGTTGCATGAGGAGCCATTAATAGTTACTCAAGCCCTAGGCTTGACAGTAAACCAGGAAAGAACCAGGGCAACTTCTGCCTTCACACAGTTCATTTTATGAGGAGTTCTGGCCCAGATGAGTAGTTTCACCTGAGGGGACCATGAAGTTAGTATCACCGATTTCCTGAGCCACAGAAGTTCACAGTGCCAGTTTTTATCTTCAGGGAATAGACTGGGTTGGGTTGGTCTTCTATTTAGGAAATGTGTCCAGCATGATTTTAAGGATTCCAGGGACATTTCTGTGCTCTTCTTTTTCTGTCCCCCATCTTGCAATCACCTGCTGCCCAAGCATTCCCAGACATGCCTTTGCTCTAAGGCTTTGAACCTGTTAAAATGTAAACAGTCCTGGGAAGCTAACACATCAAGCATGAGCAATCATTTGCATCTTCAGTTAAAGGAGCCATTTCTGAAAATAGGTTTGATGATAAAGGAGTGAGAGTGCAAAGCAAAGACGGGTAGCACATTTTTAGGGGGTCTTTGGCAAAGAAGACTATGCTAGGAAAAGGCCAGGTGGGATGAGTAAGAGTCTGAAGACCTTCTGCTTCCTGTAGAACTATGATGAGACTGGTTGTATTTGGCATGAAGAGTAGAAATGGCAAGGGCTGTGGCTTCCAGGTGGGTGTGAATTCAGGAAGACTTTGAATCCATGGAGAGGAGTGCTTGTAACTATAGAATTTGCCTGAGAAATGGAGTCCTATGAGACGCTGAGCTCCTTGCTTGGGCAATGCAGGAACAGGGACTGGCCTATTGGGAACACTTGTTTTGAGTGTGGGGCCTGACACATACGACCATCGCAGCCTCTTTCTTCCACCTCCAAGTTTCTATCATTCCATGGCCCTGCATTCCTACAGAGAAATAAGGAGGAAGAACCACTGAAGTAGCAAAAAGATAAGGACATGGAGAACAGAGGTACTGAAAAGTATATGATTATTGCCTTAACAGTTTTTTGAAAAGCTTGGCCAGCTAGTCATTTGGTCAGTTTTGCAAAATGCACACAACACAGTTGCTTGGGTGGTCACAAGCTGGAAGACCAACTTCACTCAACTAGGCACTGTTCTTGACCTTCTCCAGCCCCTACCCCAGAATTCTCCCTCCTTGAATGTGTGGATGGATGGGGGAAGGGGATCCTTCAATCCTCTAAGATCTGCCCATCAACAAACTTGATCTCCCTGGCCTGCATTTGTAGTTACAGCAAACCAGGGTGCCCCAGTTTGTTTCTGCCTCCTGTGTGAGTCTGAGTGTTGTTTTCTTACATCACAAAGGTTGGGAAGGCTTGGGGACTGCTATAATCTAAAACCAGGTGAGGGCTAGCTGTTCCAGTGGGGGCATGACTTTTATTCAATAAACCAGTCTCATGTGGCAATGTTAAAGGCACTCATATATTATGTGAGATTTCTTGATTTGCCTGCTTTTTCCTGCCTCTGGCCATCCAGAGAAAAATAGAAGAATCCTCGGGGACAGGAACCTTCTACCCTGACTTGAACTATAAATTCCAAGGTCCCAAGGAGAAAGTGGAAGAGAGAATGATGGTCCTTTTTAACCCTCTGTGAGTTGATAACAGGAAGCCCTCAGCCTCCTCCTGCAGCTGCATGGACTGCAGGAGCAGACCAAAGCAAAGAAAGCAGCTCTTGGGAGAACTGTTGGCTCCATCTTGCTTAGCGAACCTGGCCCTTTCCCCTGCAGGAATCTGACCTCCCCAAGGTTAGGCCCTGGCTGTCAATGCAGGTCTCCTCCCTCTCATCGAGTTGAAGGGAGCCATGAGCATTGTGAAGGAAACTTCATCCTGGAGAGAATTCTGGTTGGCTGAGCCATCAAGGAAAGAGTCTATGGTTCTTGACCTCCAGAACTTCAGTAGGACCTGTGGAGGCCAAGATCCCACCCTGGCCGATTGCTTTCCAGGACAGCCCTTCTTGCCCCACCCTAGGTCCAGCGTGTATGACAGATTCAACCCTTCTAAGAACCACGGTTCCATGTAGCTCGTGGAACAAGTGTGAGCTGCCCAGATGGCTTCTTCAGGGGTGAGCACGTCCCGTCTTTACAGATCGGTTATGCATTGTTCACAGGTGGCATTCACCTTTATGTCTGGGGAGGATGGCCACGTGGGGAGCTGGAGTAAGGTCACCACAAGACCTTCAGGGGCCCTTAGGGGAGGCCAAAACAAAAAGGGCAAGGGTTGGCATTCAGGGCATAAGAGACCCCCCCTCTCCTGAGGAGAATGACAAGAGAAAGTGAAGGCCATTGGTTCTGAACAAGCCACATCCAGGAGAGGCCCCTATGCAGGGCACTGATCTGCTCTCCCCACCACTCCTTGGAATGTGAGGCCCCCTGGGCTCCTCCCACCCCTCTTTGTTTGCTTTCCTTGCTCAGAAAGCTCTCTGTGATCAGGACCCCTATTCCCGGTTCTAAAACACCTGGTGCAGTGGGAAGGGGGCCATTGACGTCAGCGGGGATGTTTGTCTACCCAGGTGTAGCTAATTTTCTCAGTGTGAGGCTTTGTTTCTGAACCTGGTAGGCCACCTCACACCACATCTTTGAGCGTGTGTTGGGGCAGGGGTGGAACACAGGTATGGGGTTGATGCGTGACCCATCACACTCATCATGCCAAACAAAACATGTCTGGGTGGAGCCCCTCTCCCAACTCCAGCCCACTAGACTCCAGGGCCTCATGGGCCTTGGAAGGTTCCCTAATAAGTAGACCTCAGAGACCTTTCTGGATACAGGGGCTAGGCCACACCCTTCTTGCTCTGAGAGGGTCCCCATCAGCTCCCAAGACCCTGGTCAGCAGGATTTAGCAGGAAAGGTTGGAAATTTTCCATAGAACCAGAAAGACACCATCTAGCATGGGGCTGGTGCCAAACTTTCCACCAAGACGCTGATGGCAGTGTTGATCCCCAGGCTGTGCCTGGCCTGCACAAGGAATTAAGGGAGCTTACTGAGGTTGGATGGCAAATTGACCTCATAAGGAGAAAACACGTAGATAATAGCTTGAAAGGCAAGTTCTGGAGCTAGAATTCTAATGAGAGGAGGTAATGCCTGAGAGACTACAGGGAAGCTGCTAGACAGTCCCCAGCTCCACCCTTTAAAGGAAACCTGCCAAGTCCACCCAGGTTGGGAGGGGGGAACCATGGTAGTTAGAGCTCTTCTTGCCCAAGGAGTTTAGAAAAGAGACTTGGGGTACAGAGGCCACAGGGACGTGGGAGAGCTCCAGAAGGGGCATTTGTCTTTCTCCTCCCTCCTCCTCTTCCATGGTGCTCTTCCTCGGCTGGCAGACATGCACTGGGCATAGGCTTAGGGGATGCAAGTCAGTGAGGTTACAGAAAGTTGGTAAGAGGATGGACTGGAGGCCTGAAGGAAGTGAAAGATTTCAGGTTTAGGAGGAGTCCCCACGCCTGGAGTTGAGGACCAGAGACGCCGTCCAGTCGGAAGGAAGCCTCTTCCCAAGCCCTGATGGTCTAGATTCCTCCAGCCCTGTGCAGGAAACCAAAAGGAGCCCAGGTAAGAAGCCCTGGGGGAAACAAGTGAGCCAGGCAGACCACCCTAGCCAACAAGCCCATCTGGTTTTTCAAAGGAAAATTCTCTTCTGTTGAGCTGCATCTGGGGAAGACAATCGTGTGATGGGAAACTCACTCAGCACTCCGGGGAGTAGGGGAGTATCTAGATCTTGGAAGCTTCAAACTAGAAAGGTTCTTAAATATTTATAGTTCTAATCCCTTATTTTATAGATGAGGAAACCACAGCTTGTCCAGAGACTTGTTCAAGTGGTAAAAGAGCCTGGTCAAAAATCCAGCTGTCCTAGCCTATGACCCAAAACAATTCCTGCTCACCTAGTGATGGAATCAGCTTAATCAATCAGCTCTCAAATCCTCTCACCCGCCGGACCTGCCCTCTGAATGAGGTTTCATATCATCTGTGTTCCTTTCCTCAATGCTGTGACCCACAGCTCTGACTTCAGGGCGGGTGCCAGGGCAGCAGCATGTTGTATCAAGCTTCTGAGATGCAACCTCTGGCTAATGAGGTAGAATTACACACTTTCTGCCTAAGCCCCATTACCACTGCCTTCAGGAAAGAGGCACTTGCTCCAGGTTCCCTGGCCTCACTTCTTGGGTGCCATACCCTTAACAAACCAGTAGAACTGGACCATTCCAGCTCCTCAACGACTTGTCTCCATGGTGCCCCATCTTAGATTACTGTAGACTTATTTTGTGTAGCTACTCAGAGTGGATATTTCTGGAAGACAAATAGCCATGCAACAAGGAGCAATATTCTAAGATTTTGGGGTCATTTGATCACAAAATGAATATCCTTGTAAAATATGTGATCTCTTCTAAAACTGGCCCCAAAAATATGAGCCAGGGTGAACTTGATTGAAGAAAAGCTAACATGTTAGGCTTGGACGTCTAAAATCAGACTTCTGCCTAGTATCATTCCCCGACCTGACCTTCAAGTACCCCTTCTCTCAAAGATGTACAATATCCACACCCTTCTGAGAGGTTAGAGAGAAAGAAAATAAGTTCACCAACTCTAAAGGTTATTGGTTTTCTGGATGGTTAAGAAAGATTCTGAGATCGTATTTAAATTTATTGGGAAAGAGTGCTGTGATCAATTAGCTACATCTGCAATAGGTAATAAAAGGGACATGAAAGAGGATGTGGGGGGAGGGACCTAAAAATATTGCCACAAAAGGAGACAATATACAGTGGCTCAGCACTTTCCTTGGCCTTTCAGTGGATATCACTAACATAATGTTACCCAGGTGATTGTTATTTTTTTGTAACTTTTATTACTCCTTTTGAATATGATATTGTTCATGGTCTTTCTCAAAAAAAGTTAAAAAATCTATTAAGATCACTGGGGAAGACTCAGCTGTCTGTAAAACACCTATACTGTCCGAGTAAAGAATCAGATAAGGAGTTCCAAAGCTGGCTCCGAAACTGACCAGGTGTGCAGCCTCAGGTAAGCTGGCTATCTCTGGATCTCTGTTTCCTTCTACCAATGCCTGGATGCAAAGGTCGCTTGGTTATCCATAATTGATAACTCCAAGTAGTTTGACCAGATTGGAAAATATCTATTGGGTATTTTGATTTGAATCATAACTACCAATATAAAACTCTACTGTGGTCCAAATTTCCAAAGCTGTGCTCGAGAGTTCCTTCTGCAGTTGCAATGGGAATTCAAAGAATGGAATGATCCATATGGCCAATAAGCCACAGACAGTGTCATGGAAGGAGTAGAGCATAAACCAGACCTTGAAGGGTAGCTAGAACTTAGGCAAAGAAGAGAGTTGGAAGAAACACAGAGGGCCAGAGAAAAAGCCAGAATGCCAAAGTAGGACATGTGTTGCAAGAGAAGAGGAAGAGGATCTATATGAAGCTATCTACTTTGTGGAACACCTGGCATGCCAGGCAGGAGACTGAGCATTAGACTCTTGGCAAAAGGGAGCCGTGGAGATTACTGAATAAAAGAGTGACACAATGATAGGAAGCACAGAATGGAACAGGAAAGACACAGACCAGGGAGACTAATGATGTAGATATGAATCCTGAGGGTATGGGCTAGGGCTGGAACAATGACAGCAGAATGCAAAGTCATTCTGGAGAAAAATCGGCCAAGGGTTACCCCAGTCACACACAGGTTACTCTGACCTTTGCACCCTTTCATCTAATTTATGAGGTTATTATAAAGTACCATGAGGCTAAATGAAGTATTAACTCACGTATACTTATTAATGGCTTCCCCACACAATGAGTCAAAGGCGTCAAAAGAAACAAGATCTAGGTGAGTCCATTGGCCAAGTAACGAGCTGTGTGGGGAAGGAGAAGAGAAAGGGTTTAAAACATTTACTATTGGCCAGCGCCACAGCTCACTTGGCTAATCCTCCCCTGCGGCGCTGGCACTCCAGGTTCTAGTCCCGGTTGGGGCACCGGATTCTGTCCCGGTTGCTTCTCTTCCAGTCCAGCTCTCTGCTGTGGCCTGGGAAGGCAGTGGAGGATGGCCCAAGTGCTTGGGCCCTGCACCCACATGGGAGACCAGGAGGAAGCACCTGGCTCCTGGCTTCGGATTGGCGCAGCACGCCGGCCGTAGTGGCCATTTGTGGGGTGAACCAATAAAAGGAAGACCTTTTTCTCTCTCTCTCTCTCTCACTGTCTAACTCTGCCTGTCAAAAAAAAAAAAAAACACACATTTACTATAAGGGTAAGTCTCGCTTATTTCAGTGTCATACTTACTCATCTCCAACTTTTCAAAGATGTGCCCTTCAATGGCTTTTTTTTGCCATTGATAATGTGAACAGTTGGCATTTTCTGTGCACTAGAAGTCAGTAGAGGCATGAGTGCTTTGATCACGACTCCCCAGAGAAAGCGTTTCTGGACAAATCATTATGGCTCGTAATTATGCTTACCTACTCTGAGTCAATGGGAAGAAAGCATCACCGGACACTTGGCTGAGAAAACATGGGACAGTGGCAATCCTCGTGGGCAATGGTCCTGAACGGCCCTGCATAAAGCTACATGCACTGGGACACTTAATAAGGCTTGTTAGAGGAGGAGAGAGCAGCAGCTCCTACACCAGGCAGGCAAGCCCAGGAGTCACTCAGCTGCTAAGGATTACCCGAGGGCTATTGAGATCTGAACTCCCCAAACAGATGCCACAGCACAAATGCAGCGGCACCAAGAAAGCAAGCACAGTGGCCCTCTGAGCAGCCAGGTGGAGTCCTTTGGAGTCCCCAGCCCAAGCCCTCTAACCATAAACCCCATCTGTGCCACACCAGTGCTGTTTTCTGTGTGCCATTGCAAAGCCATTGCAAAGAGGAAGAACGCAATGTACATTTACTGAGTGCTTATTGTGAACAAAATCTCACTTGTGAGCTATAGAATGCCCAGCCCCGACTCCAAGTGTCTTAGGGCTTCACAGCTGGGTGAAGTAAACTTATGTGGTATATTTGTGACCAAACCAAACCACATCTTACCAAGTCACCCTCTTCAATGGCCTGTTGTCTTCTCTCTCATGGTTGAAGGTCTTCCTCCCACTCTTGTAAGACCTGGGTTTCTGGTTGGTTGATCATAGGCAACCAATCATTTCATCACCAACTATAAACTTCAAGTCTTTTATTTCAGTAACACTGGAAATGATCAGCCCTTACCCTGAAAATTCCAAGATCCTACTCAACTCAGAAATCTCTTTTATCAACATATGCTACACTCGCACCTCTATTTCAATATTTTTAAGCACGAACCATTTTAAGATATATTACTTCAAAAATAGTTCATGCCCTGAAATAGCTTGCCCTTGTTCATTATACCATTTATAAATTAAAGTCTGTAGGTTAATTTTCCTTCATTTATTTATTCAACAAATACTACTGAGTGCCTGCAGTACACCAGATTAAGGTTAGGTGCCAGTGTAAATTGGTAAAACCCTGGCTGTCAAGGATCTTACCATCCTGTGAAGGCAAAGGTCAAGAACACACAATTAATTCTTAGCAAGGAAAGAGACAGGACAGATAGCTGTGAAATCCCAGGTATGCCCTTAGGATAGGGAGCCTTCCGCCTGGAGGAGAGGGACCTGGTGCCATCAGAGGGCAGCGTCCTCCCCAGGGAGGCACCAGATCTGTGAGCACTGCAATGTTATCTTCCAGAACATATTGCAAGCATTATCTCATCTTCATAAGAAGTGGTAGGTCTCCCTCTGAAATGTCTGTCATCACTGACAGGTTTAGTTTGCAAGGTCAGCCCCATAGGGAGGGTCTGTATACTACTCCCTGGGAGATTCTCATGTCTGCCTGTCTGCCACTGATGCACCTGTCAATGAGATCACATGACTTGGAAAATGTCAGGCATCTTAGTGAACTCTGGTTCCCAGCCAGTATTGTTCTTGTTTTCTTTTTTCTCTGCAAACCAGTGGTATATCACATTTCTGGAAAATCGGATAGACAGGCTCATAATATTTGCAAAGTTGCTTTTAGCCATCATGAAGTCCTGAGAATGTGTCCCGGAGGCCAGCAGTAAATTGATATCACCTTCTCTCTGGTCTTGTAGTCTTAATCTTAGGAAGTTTATTTTATCTCCAGTCTCCTTTGAGGCGTCTCTTCCTACTTTTCATTCTCAACTCCTGGCTGGCACATCTTGAGGGGCTGCCATCCTCCCTGGCCGTCTCAGGTCAGCCCTCTAGTGCTGCCCTTGTGAGAGAGATGAACGTGTGATCCTGTCTTACTTTCCTCAGCTCTAGGCAGGCAGCAGAATCTGAGCTGCTGCAGAACCAGGGAGTGGAGGCTGAGCCACTGGCCTCCTGCAGCCATCATTAAGCTCTGCAGAAGGTTAGTCTCAGCCCCACCTAGCAGTCACTCACCCACTCGCCCACCCACCCCATGAACTCCGTCCGCAAGCCCCACCACCCTTTCTGCCTGTGTTACTCTGGCTGACTCCTGATTGAAAAAATCCGGGATATGTTAACAACCAAAAGTGTTTCTTTATGTATTTCCAGAACTTCCCAGGTTGGTGTAACCTTACTTTGTTAAATTGAAGCACCTCTTTGTGTATATGAAAAATAACACAGTTTAGTGACTGGCATTTGTCCTGGCCTCCAATTTCCAGGACCAGATCCTAGGTTAAAAGGAAAGTTCCTTTGTTCCACCAAACAGGTCTGTGTTGTACAGTACAGTGCCACATTGGTGTGGCAAGAGCAGTAACTGGGGGCCTGCCATCCAGGTGCAATACCTGTGTTGTCAACATTAATGAGCTATGCGACTTGGGTGAGTTGATTTCTCTGCACAAGGGCAGTGGCCTGTGACCTTGAAGTGCTCATCCAGTTCTGCGTTTATGATGCCAAGGTCAACACACACCTCTGCCAATGCTTGGCGGATGAGGAATGAGAAGCAATGGACTGGCAGAGCTGATGTTCCTGTCGGACAGATATGCATTGGGGACTGGCTCTGTGGAAGAATAGCCCACTGTGTCCTGTGTGCAATGAGACCCCCTCGGTCCTCGTCCTGCATGGCTGCTGTCTGCAGGGATGTCACAGGGCACATCGATGTTCCAGGCACCTCTGCAGGGCACAGTGAGTAGCACTTTCAGTTGCAGGGTTAGGGCTCAGCGCTGACCTCTGGACAGCGTGCAGAAACACGAGCTGCTTCTCCATCCTGAGTCACCAGGCAGGGACCTGGCCATATGAGTGTCACCCTTCAATCTAGAAGTATAGACAGAACCTCTCTCCTTGCTCTGGATGTTGGCACTTCCACACTACTCTGAGCTTTGCTAACATTTCCACATCAGCTATGTGGTCTGGTCCCATGCTTTCAGACTTTAACATACACACAAATCAGCTTGGGGTCTTGTTAGAAGGCTGATTCCAGTTTAGTAGGTCTAGGGTGGAGTCTGAGCTTCTGAATTCCATGAGTCCTCTTGTGACATCCAAGAAACTGGTGCATGAACTGGAAGAATGCAAAGATCAGATGCAGAGAGAACTGGGAGCTGAGAGTTGCCTGGTTCACTACTGATAGGATGCTACAGGGATCATTCTTAGGCTCAATTTTCCCTCTCTTGGTGATGATAATGCCCATCAGTTTCAAGGTACTATTGAGAGGACTGAGTGGGCCCACTTACAAGGTGTGCAAAGGGAATCGTGCGACTCTTACCGCTACCGCTATCCCAGGAAGCCACTGGGCCATATAACTCAGGTGTGCACGGGCACCCTCAGGAGAGTGTGTTAAAACTGCACACCCCAAGGGTCACCAAGCCCTCCAATGGACAGCCCTGTGGTGGACCAAGGAGCATGCACTTGAAGAAGCCACACAGGTGATTTGGCGCTGGGGGCTCCCAGACCACGCACTGAGAAACCCTGGCTCCATTAGACAGAGTGGGGAGTAAAGTGAAAGACAATGAGGTCCAGCAGAGAGCTGCATGTGGCTCATCAGAGATTCAAGACTCCTAGCTCTCCATTGATTGGCACAGAAAGCATCTAGGGAATCCTGTAGGAAAATGGGTTCTGATTGCACCTGCCTGGGGTAAGGCCTGAGACTGTGCATTTCTAACCACTATCTGCTGGTGCTGCTGGTCCAAGGACCACACTTTGGGTAGCAAGAGCCCACATCAGTAGTTCTCAGAGCAAGCTGCCCACAAGAGCCGCCTGGCCCATCACAGGCATTGCAAAGCCTCCATTGTGTTAACTTGGGCTGGGGTAGGACTCAGGGATGATTTTAAAGCACCCATGGGATTCCAGTATGCAGCCAGTTTTGCAGTTCCCTGCTTCCAAAGCACTGGCCAAAGAGAAGTGGAGAGGCAGTCAGCCCATGGGCCACCTGCTCATGCGGGTCCAGGATGCCGGGAAGTGGGGCTCAGAGCAGCTCCCTGCCTGAGAAGGAGGGTGGGCTGGCTCACCAGTCTTGACTTAGAACACTGTGGGGAGGAGTGAGGGCTGAATTGGAGAAATAGGGCAGTGGGTGTTTGCGCAAACACAGGTGTGCTTGCGGCTCCAGCATCAGGCTTGCTGCCCTCTCCTCCCAGGCTTCCAGTTCGATTTTTCCCTGCTGTCTGCTTGGCGCCCATGGGTGCAGACTGGGCAGACACTAACCTGTCTCTTCTTGCCCCCCGCCAGGCGGCGGCGGGGAGCAGCCACCAGCAGCCGGCCTGAAGGCCGAGGAGGGCTCAGAGCCTGCGGGCCCCAAGCCCAGGAGCGTGTTCCACATCGAGTGGTCATCTATACGGAGGAGGAGCAAAGGTGTGGCTTCCTGCCCTGGCACTCAGGGCCGGCTCCCTGGGCTCATCAAATAGGGGTGGGGCAGTGACAGTAGCTACTTCATGGGGTGGGAGGAGACCCCTGGGATCAGCTTGTTCTTCTCCCACCTGATGGTCCCCCTGGGCTCTGGATGACTCCCTCGAAGTCAGGGGACAGGAGCCGGGACAAACGTGAACTCCTGGAGAGGTGGGGGTCTCAGCATGGTCACACATCGCGATCACCAGCATCCTGCCCCAGCGGCTCGAATGTCACTCACCTGGGGGGCAGCCTGGGCAGGCATCAGGAGCTTCTAAATCTCCCCGTGAGATTCCTGTTTGCCAACACAGGTTGAGGAGGCCAGAGAGGAAACTTCTCACCTGTAGTAGTGGTGGGGCTGCCCAGACCCAGGGGACAGATAGCCCTGGTGGCCAGGGGCTCCCAAAGCGAGGGGAGGGAGAGGCCAGTGGGAAACCGTGTTGAGCAGCTGGGGAGCCAGAGCTTTGACAGCAAGCCCGAGCATGCTGTGGCAACCGGGAGGAGTCTGGGGCGAGCCCCCAGACACCTGCAAGATTAGAGCAGCCCTGAGAAGAGCCCAAGAGGGGAGCAGAACTGCCCAGAGGCACATAGCTGGCTCAGGGCTCTGCAAGATGCACAGCTGAGCCCTGGGTTGTCCCCCCTTTTCCATCACACACCTCTCAGAAGAGGCGCAGCGGCTGTTTCTGCCTCCAGTTGGTCTGTGTCTCCCTGTGCCACACCGAAAGCCGGGCCTGGAGTGGTTGTGGGCAAACACACAAAGCCGAGTGGGCCTGCAGCGCTCAGCATCCCCTGAGGCCAGGTGTTTGTCTTTGACAGGAGTCCCGGCCAGTGTGAAAAGCTGCGTGATTTGCCCCGAAAGGCTAACAAGCTCCCTCCTGACATCCTCCTGAAGCCGCGGCTGGGGACTGGGTGGAGAGGGAAGAGTAGAGGGAGGAGGCAGAGGAGGCTGGCAGGGGGAGATCAGTCGCTGGCAGGCAGAGGGGAGCTTCAGGCAGAAGCACTGGGTCGCTTGGGACATCACACACACTGGCCTCCCTGTTCATAAGAATCCTTTCTGCTTCTGAAATTAGTTCCTCCTGAGTTCTGTGACTTCCCAACCACATTGATATTTGTAGTCGCTGTTCCTTCAGAAATACAAGCACAGTGCCTTTGAAGCATCCTGTCTAGCGTCAGCCACCCTGAGGCTCCAGAACTCAGACTTGGAGCCACCCAGTGGGAGCCTGGCCTGCTGTTCTCCCTCATGACCACATGGGGGAACCAGAGGCACCAAAACGGAAACTGCAGGGTAGGAGCCTCTCTCCCAAGCTTAAACCCTTATCGAGATTGCTCATCTTCAAAAAGTAAATTATCTGTAGTAAAGACAAATATGTCCAGAGCCACATTTTGAGACATGTCTAGAGTTATAATGAAATCCACCAAAATCTGTTTCCAACTAATATTTGGATATCACCTGTCCCAGTCCAGCTTGCAATTTTTACTAAAAAGCCTAAAATTCAGAGAAAAAAAAAAAGACCAGAAGCCTAAGACTGTATGAATAGTAGGAAGTTCAGGGCTTCAGCATCATCCAAGTTCCTTTCCTCGTGCACCTGCAAGACCTCCATGCAGTGTTGGAGAAAGAAATCACCACACCTCTGGACTGCTGTTTCCTCATCCATAAAATACAGGGATTGAGCTAAATCAGGACTTTTCAGTTAACAATCAAGAGACTATGAATTCCCCATAAATCTTGTATAATCTTCTGTGTGAAGATGTGCCTTTTCCCCTAAAGGGAGAGCCCAAACAGGTCTACGGCCCGTAGAAGGTAGAAGAGGGTTCCAGCTCCAAGGCTCTGTGCTTCCTCGGGTGGGATGGGGAATAGAGAATACTTAGCTCGAGTCTGGAGCGAGATGAGCGGCTATGGAGCCAGAGTGGCGCCGTGCCATCTGATGATGCTTTCCTTCCACCTGCAGTGTTTGGGAAAGGCGAGCAGCAGGAGAGACAGCCCAAGGTGCCCCTTCCCTATCAATACCGGAAGCCCTCGGTGGAACTGCTTGTGAGTACTGAGTGGCCCGCACCTGTCAGAGCTGCTGGCAGATGGGGGCTGAGGCCACTCAAAGAAGTCCTCTGACTTAGGCAAACTTTTTTTCAGGATTTATTTATTTGAAAGACAGAGTTACAGAGACAGAGACAGAGACTAAGAGAGAGCTCTTCTCTCTGCTGGTTCACTCCCCAAATGGCTGCAATGGCCAAGGCTGAGCCAGGCCAAAACCAGGAGCCTATAACTCCATTTAGTCTCCCACGTGGGAGCAGGGGCTCAAGGACTTGAGTCGTCTTCCACTGATTTCCCAGTGCATTAGCTGGGGGCTGGGCCAAAAATGGAGCAGCTGGGATTCCAATGGGCTCCCGTTACAGGGTGCCAGCATCACAGGCTAGGGCTAGGGCTAGGGCTAGGGCTAGGGTTAGGGTTAACCCACTGTGCCACAATACTAGCCTCAGCCAAACGTTTCTTGAATTTGTATTTTCAGAAATGTTATTACCTGTGATAAAAATGTCCATTTTTCACAGCGTACTTTGCCAACTTTCATATTCCTTTTGTCTGAATGATTAATTATCAGGCTTCCTCCAAAGCTAGCACTCAAGCATTTACAAAATGAGCTGGTGCCAATTTTCAAAAATAATCTATTGGACAAGAGAAAAGCAATTTCTTAGAAAAGACTATAATAGAGTATAATATTTCTTTTTTTAAAAATCTAAAGATCTTTGGTTAATCTCAGTGCTTGAATGTGACCTTGACCTTTGCAAATGAGAACCTCTGCAGGCTTGAGTCCTCACCCCAAAATGAGGGTAAAGATGCTGTTTATTGTATCTCCTGGTGGCTGGTAACATACCAAATGAAAGAAACGGGGAGATGATGAAATGGCTACTTACATAAACTCCAAGTGAAAATCTCAGCTTCTCAGTGCGACAAGCTCTGAAGGTCTCGTCTCCCTTCCCGAACAGAATCTGGGCCCCATGGAGGACAGCTCTGAGATAAAGGTGGAGACCGCCAGCTCCAGGACTTCCTGGATCCAGAGTTCCGTGGCTGCTGGTGGGAAAAGGATCAGCAGGGCCCTCGGCTACATCACCGGGGAGATGAAGGAGTGTGCAGAGGGGCTTAAAGGTAAAGTCCTGTGAGACCTGACCCACAAAAGGACAGCCCCTCGGAAGCCCATGGCCACAGGGTGGCTTTCGGTTAGTCTGAGTTCTGTTTCCATGGCTCTTCAGAGAAGCTAGGAGCTTTGCTGTGAAGACAGTCTCCTGGGATATTGATACAGGACGTGAAGTGGGTGAGCTCCATTTCTGAGCATAGCGGTTCTGTTCTCCCAATTTCCCACCCAGACTTCACAGACAGGATTCTAGAAAGTTCTAGAATTTTCTAGAGAAAATGCTAACAAAAAATTCCTCTGGAGTCTCAAGGGGAACGGTGCCTACTAGGCCAACAAGTTCTCTTTCGCACTCTTCCCTAGAGCTCAGCTCATGGATGGAATGCCCCCATGCAGCAAGAGAGCTTCCTGGGATATTCGTGCCACTGTCATGGGCTTGTAGGGTCTCTAACCCCAGCCGCTGGAGACACAACCTGAACACCACCTCCAGCCGGCAGTGGGCCTCAAGGGGTTTATGGGCAGCCCAAGGGTCCCTCGGGTTCTTTTCATTTTTTTTTTAAGATTTTATGTATTTATTTAAAGGCCAAGTTACAGAGAGAGAGGAAGAAACAGAGACAGATCTTCCATCCACTGGTTCATCCCCAAATGGCCTCAGCAATGGCTGGGGCTGGGGCTGGGGCTGGGCCAGAAAGAGGCCAGGAGCCTAGAACTCCATCCAAGTCCCCTACATGGGTAGCAGGGACCCAAGCACTCAGACCCTCTTCCCCTGCTTTCTCAGGCACATTAGCAGGGAGCTAGATGGGAACTGGAGCAGCTGGGACTCAAATCAGTGCTCACACGGGAAGACCAGTGTTACAGGCAGCAGCTTAACCCACTCCAATGCTACCCCCTCCCCCAGGTCCTTCTTCACCCTCTTCTGTGGCAGGTGACAGCAGGGGCTGGGATGCTGAGATGCCCTTCAACCCTCGATCTGCTGCAGGTCTTGCCCAGGGCTGCCCCCAAGCCTATGTGCTGACCTCCTGTCTTGGTCCATTTCAGACAAGTCCCCCGTGTTCCAGTTCCTCGACTGGGTTCTCCGAGGCACATCTCAGGTGATGTTTGTGAACAACCCCCTCAGTGGCATCCTCATTGTGATCGGCCTCTTTGTCCAGAACCCATGGTGGGCCATCGCGGGATGCCTGGGCACCGTCATGTCCACCTTGACTGCCCTCATCCTGAGCCAGGACAGGTGAGTCCCTTCTGGCCCAGCCTACAAGCCTGAGGTCCCGAGGTCACTCCCTGTAGGGAGCCACTCATTCTCCCCCTTCCCACCCTCAGCCCCCAAATCCTTAAAATAAGGACACTGGTAAGCGACGATTATCTATTCCCAGCGACGCATTGTCTAGAGAGTTGTGCAGGACTGATTGTGGTCTCCCTTCCCATTTCTGGAAGGGAATCTGTTCCAAGGTGTGAATGGTTGGGCCCAAACTGAGAAAAATTGGACTCTGAAGGGGAAGTTTATTTACTCATTTTCAAATTTCATTTGAAAGGCATAGAAATCTTCTATCTACTGGCTCACTCCCCAAAAGTCCCCCAATGGCCAGGCTGAAGCCAAGAGGCAGAAACTCCATCTGGGTCTCCCACATGGGTGGCAGGGACCCAGGTGTTTGAGGCATCCCCAGCTACCTCCCAGGGTGCACACCTGCAGGCAGCTGGAATCCAAAACAGAGCCGGGACTTGAATTAGGCAGAACAATAGGGGATGCAGTGTCCCAAACTGCATCTTAACCACTAAATGCCCCCCAACCCTAAAAGGGAAATGCAAAAGGCCATTGGCAAGTCCCAGGCCACATGCACCTTCTCTCTTGCCCAGGTCAGCCATCGCCTCAGGACTCCACGGCTACAACGGCGTGCTGGTGGGGCTGCTGATAGCCGTGTTCTCCGACAAGGGCGACTATTACTGGTGGCTTCTGCTCCCCGTCATCGTGATGTCCATGTCCTGGTAAGTTTCTTTCAGAGGCCAGGGCAGCCACCCTTCTCCCTGGACTGCCTGTGTCCATTCCATTTTCCAGTAGTGCGTGGTTAGCTGCCCACTAGCAACTACACTAGAAATAGTCACACTGTTATAGGGTGACAGTACCATGCTGGTCATCTGCGTACACTGCCCCATTCGCTGTCAGCCTTTGCTTAAGGTGGAAAGTATTTCTGGTCTCACTCCACCCAAGAACAGAGCAAGAACCCGAGGCCCACACAGGTTAAGAGCTGCACTCCAATGTCCTGTCAGTTTCTAGAAATATCATGCTTCCTGTTTCCCCAGCTTTTGTCCATCCCTGGGATCCCTGCCCAGACCATGGCAACCTCCCAGGGGAGGCAAAACCAAAACCCAACCCTGGAGCCTCAAAGCTCCTGGTTCAGCCCTTGTGTCCAGAAAATATGGGGCACTCCAGTCACAGGCCCCTGCTCTTGGCCACTCCACAAACATTACTTGAGTGGACGGATGTGATTCCCAATCCATCCTCTCTCCTCGTGCCCAGGGATGGAGCTGTGTGAGCCTCCCCGGAAGCTCTGCCTCTAAACATCTCCCAGAAAGCCCTCTTTCTGAAGCCGGGGGAGGGCCATCACGCCCTGTCTCTGTGCTGGGCACAGGCAGAAAGTCCAGGGAAAGGCCTGCCCGGGGCTGCTCAGGCCTGGGGAGGCTGAGCAGGGGTCCCCACTGTGGTTGCAGTCTGCTGTTGAAGCCAGCCACTTTCTGACCAGCATCATGCTTCTGCCCCCAGCCCCATCCTCTCCAGTGCTCTGGGCACCATCTTCAGCAAGTGGGACCTCCCAGTCTTCACCCTGCCCTTCAACATCGCTGTGACCCTGTACCTGGCAGCCACAGGCCACTACAACCTCTTCTTCCCCACAACACTGCTGCAGCCTGTATCCTCCGTGCCCAACATCACCTGGTCAGAGATCCAGGTGCCCTTGGTATGTATCCTGGAAGAAGGAAAGTCAGCATGTGTCCGAACTGAATGCTACAAGGGCATTTACTTATTTTGCACATCATACATGTTCATGAGTAATCACCATTAACAATTATACACTACAAAGCTTACATGTGGTTTCCTGCATACTCAAAGATTCTACGTCCGTGGATACAAACAACCACAGATCAAACATTATCAAAACAGTGTTTCTTATCATCATTCCCTAACAATGATTACCCAAATAGTAACAATAATTTATATAGCGGTCGGCGCCGTGGCTCACTAGGCTAATCCTCCTCCTGCGGCGCCGGCACACCGGGTTCTAGTCCCTGTCGGGGCGCCAGATTCTGTCCCGGTTGCCCCTCTTCCAGGCCAGCTCTCTGCTGTGGCCCAGGAGTGCAGTGGAGGATGGCCCAAGTCCTTGGGCCCTGCAGCCGCATGGGAGACCAGGAGAAGCACCCGGCTCCTGGCTTCGGATCAGTGCAGTGCGCCGGTTGCAGTGCGCTGGCCGCAGCAGCCATTGGAGGGTGAACCAACGGCAAAAAGGAAGACCTTTCTCTGTCTCTCTCTCTCTCTCACTGTCCACTCTGCCTGTCAAAAAAAAAATAATTTATATAGCATTTACATTGTATTAGGTGCTACAAGAAATCCAGAGGTGATTTAAAGTATACAGAAAGATGAATGCTAGCATTATGCAAATACTACATCATTGTATAAGGAGCTTTAGCACCCAAAGATTTTAATATCTGCAGAGGGTCCTGGAACTGATTCCCTGTGCATGCAGATGGAGAGTTTGACAACTCTTGTGAGCTACTGTCCTTTCTCTCAGTCCCACCCTGAAATAGCAGAGAGGAAGATACAGAAGCCATGCTGAGACCTGCGCAGTCGCACAGTCCTTTAGTCAAAGTCAAGACTAGAGCTCCGGTCTCTTGGCTTCTAGTCCTGGGTTCTTTGATTTTTTTTTTCCTTTTTTTACCAAGTACTTTTGCTGCTTTGCTCTAGTTTAATGTCATGTATGTTTCCTTCCTCCTACCACATTGAATCATTAAGAACACTTACACATCACGTTCCAATCCATTGGCTTAAGAAGTCACCCTTTAGCCCTCCAGGGTCCCTTCCATTCACTCGCAGAGGTTCCCACACAGCTTAAAGCCCAGGTGTTCCTGCCTGTATGCCATCCTGCCCTCTGGAAGGTTCCCAGGGTAGTGAGTAAGAAGCTGCATTAAACGTATTAAATCAGCAGGGAGACAGACGTCCCCAGCCTCCTTACCTAACAGGCAGGTTCGCTCCAAGGCCCTCCCATTTTCTACTACACTGAGGCCCCACCCCGATCTTGCATTCACTCTGAAACTTGGCCGCTGGCAGGGCAGCATCTGACCCTAGAGCCACTTGGGCTTGTGGGAGAACGTCCTCTCAGAAATGATGGTGCTTCTTGTCACCAGCACTCAGAGTACGGTTAGAAAAGCCCTACACTGCTCTAACAAGCCTCTTCCTTTAGGAAGACAAATATTTGTGTTGGGTGCATCCAGGTTGAGTATCCACATGTGCAAGGACCTTTGTGCAGAAGGGCGAGAAGAGGCCAGGCCAGTGAGGCAGCAACGTTGCTCCCATTTGTGCTTTGCCCAGTCCCTCTCCATCCCTCGGGGACAAACTTGCTCTGCTTGGTGTGGTTTGGAGAGACAGTGATAGAAAACTCAAGTGTCAGGTATTGGCCTGCCCCAGGCCACTTTTTCAGTTGAAAGGATATTTAGGAATTTTCTAGAAATGGTAGAAGAAGAAAGAAAACTAGATAATCCTGTTCAGGCAGTTTAGAACCCCAGAGCACAAGAAGAAAGAAAAATTTTAAATGTTGGTGATGGTTATTTAAGGAATAACTTTCTGGCTAATAAATGGGTTGTGGCAATGCAATTGCCTTTTTGACAGTTCTAATTGGAGTCTTGGGTTTTGGGGGAACACATGGTGAATGTCAGAGACTAAAATTCCCCAGCTTTTGAATCCTCAAGGACTCCTCTGTTATTCTGAGCATTGGAGAGCCCTGCCCACCTCACCAAACCACCACATAAGGGTGCAGCTGGCAGGGGACAAAGCTGCCCAGTGCTGTGCCTCTGCAAAACTCTCTCAACTGTGCCCTGTGGCCTGTGCCCTGCAGGTTGGGGCTAAGGCCCCCACTCTGTCCTCAGTCCTAGGGCAACAGGAAACATGTGGTTCTTGCAAACACACAATACCACCCTTACATCTAATATTCAATCTTTTTTGGCATCTTTTTAGTTTAAGAGAATACAGAAGATTTGTAAACCCCAACTCTGATGAGACATCAATTATTTTTCTAATGAATAATAGCCTAATTTGAAAGGTATTCTCTGAGAGATAAATGCCTTATATTCATGTTTCTGAATAAAGCTAATTCAACATCCTAACTCTTTAGTGGCCTAAGAAGTCAAAGTTCAGAGGCTAAAGCTTTTGTTCCTCATAGAGTTCATCCATTGGAATAGATGTATCTTGGAAATCTGTTACAAAATGTTAGCATAGAGGCTTGGGTACCAGATGTTTTTCAGCTAAGGTTCAAATTGTCTCTTTTGCCTGCATAATAAGCTTGTGACCCTATTGTACCTACAGCTCTTGAGAGCCATCCCCGTTGGAATCGGCCAAGTGTATGGCTGTGATAACCCCTGGACTGGAGGCATTTTCCTCATCGCTCTGTTCATATCTTCACCTCTTATTTGCTTGCATGCGGCAATTGGATCCACCATGGGGATGTTAGCAGGTCTGTGCCATCTCTTTCCCTCATTAATTATAAAGTTGTTTGTGCCTGGGGCCATAGAAAGCTGTAGCATGTGTCTTTGATGCACACCGATTCCTGTCAACTTTCCTCCCTGCCACTGTGCCCTACTTCTCCACTTTTGGTGCTCATGTCTCCATGCTTCCTTGAGCAAAGGCGGCCCTCAGTAGCAGGCTTTAGTATCAGTCGTTTCCACCCTAGTATAAATCTAAAGTTTGGGAGAAATTTCTTCCAGACAGATTTATATTTTAACTTTCATTTCCAATGACAAAAAGAAGGATTTATTCCCAGAAAGAGCTCCTTTTGGGGCAGCAGCAGGGTATTCTCTGGATGATTTCAGTAAGACTTCAGAGTTGTCCTGCTTCAAAGAGTCTCTTCAGCCCATGCTGGCTTAACTACTGGTGTTCATGTGGCTCTTGATGTCCATCTGGCTCCTTTAAATGCTTTGCATTCAAAGGGCTGCTGATCTTATTCAATACATATTTATTGAATGAATAAAGATATGTAAGAATATGTTCTTACATAACACATATTATATAATTTATTATATGTTATAATATTTAAGAATAAATATAATGTTATAATAAATATTGTATATTATAGAATATTAATATATTCTATAATTATAATATATGTAAAATTATATGACTATATTACATGTTATATATTAACATCACATTATAATATTAAATTTTATAATTTTTAAGAGGATAACCGTTTCTGGGCTTTGAAGACTTGTAGATTTGGGGGCAGGCAGGGGAGCCACTATAAGACCCCAACACAACACTGACACCCGCCTTCTCCCACAGCACTCACGATTGCCACACCCTTTGACTCCATCTACTTTGGCCTGTGTGGCTTCAACAGCACGCTGGCATGCATCGCTGTCGGAGGCATGTTCTACGTCATCACCTGGCAGACTCACCTCCTTGCTGTTGCCTGCGGTAGGTACCATGGACAGCATCCCCTTCCCACCTCAAATGATGCCTGCATCTATCCCTGTAAAAATTCTGCAATTCCCCCCACCGAGAGCAACATGAGGGATCATTTGTTTTTTAAGAAGGTTGCTCTTTTAAACTATTTCCAATGGTTATTGAGTGATGGATACATTAAAAGCTATGTCCACTGAAGACACAATGTTCAGCCACATGAAGACAGATTGTCTAAGCTGGCTGTTGTCTGGTGGCTGTTATGGCTGTGTCATGATTGTGGGTTACCTGCTTGGAGAGAACTCATGCCAGTTAGTCCTCTATATGGAATCAGATGACTTGCATCATACAAAGCAATAACCATGAAGGATGTAAACTGACACATGTCCTTCAAAGGATCCCTCCTGGTTCCATACCGGTTCTGAGGTCTAAGAAATTAGACCATAACCATTTGGTGTATTTACCTATTCTTGGCCTCTAACAGCCTTCATTTCTTCATGTCACATGAACGGAAGCCAAATAAAGCTCCTCTGACGGAGACAATTAAGGCAGGTTGAATCCTGGCACAGCTGTAGACTATCAACATTATTAAATGAGGGAACTTCAAAAAGTGTGTGGGCAACTGGCCCTGAAAGATGTCTATTTGGGTGCACCTGTGGAATTTAAGGACCACGTGATACCAACATCTAATGTTTATCATTTTTTTTTACAAAAACACTTTTACACACATCATTGCATCTGTTCACTGTGGAAGCTGGAGATGAGCTTTGCTTTGCGGATGGGGCTCCTGAGGTTCAGGCAGAGTCCACCGTCCTTCTGCAAGTCAGAGAAAGATCTGGAAGCATCCAGCGATGACCTTTCAGATCAAAAACGGGAAAGAAGATTATAACATAGTCAAGTGCTTTCATGAGTTCAATGAGCAGATGATTTTAAGATGAAGCCATCACAGGGAATCTGGAACACCGGTCAGCCGACTCAGATATGGCGCCTGTGGAAAGACACCAGGAGGCAATGGTCTGGACAGCTCCTTTATCAGGCAGACCAGGTTCCTTTGAAAGCAATGTCACCGTGAATATTTTAATTTCAACGACTTTAATTTTTAATAAGCCAGAATTTACTCCATGACCTGAAATTCAGACCCATGCCTAGTTATTTCCATTCATTAATGACGAAAATTGCAAACTTTCACAGACATCTTTAAAATCAGTAGTCATTGATATTATTAAATTGATTTTGACCTTGCTCTATTTAAAATAAAACTATCTACTCAAAAGTAGAAAAGTCAAGGAGGCCTGAAGACTTCATCAGGATTCAGGGTGGTGGTGATACTGGCTCTAAGTGCACCTGCCCCAAAACTCTGCCCAGGGTCAGAGCAGGGAGGTAGCCTGGGGGGAGGGGCTGTGTCAAGGGCTTGGAATCATAGCCTCTGTCTACAGTCAGAGGCCTGGAGGTGTAGCCTTGTCTAGGCACTCAGAGGCCAATAGTCTGGGATATCAGCTGGGACATGGGAATAGGGGATATCCCTGCCTTCCAACTTCAAGTTCTGCTTGCTCACTAAGGAACGTTCATGTTCACCAAATAAGTCCTGAATGCGAAACTTACTCTCAACCAGAGGTGATTCTCTCCAGGGACACTTGCCTGTGTCTGGTGACATTTTTGTTGGTCATACTTACCGGTACTGGTATTTACTGGGTAGAGGCCAGGGGTGCTGTTAAATAACCCACAATGTTCAAGACAGACTCCACCAAAAAACAATGCCCAACCCAAAATGCCAGTGTTCCCAAGATTGTGAAACCTCGAGATACAGCGTCTTATTTAATCCTCACCCTGTAAAGTGGGAACATACTGTTACTACCTCCGTTTTACTGATGGAGAATTGGGGCTAAAGGAAGCTGAACAAATTGCCCAAAGCTGAGGTTTTTGGAGAGTTTTCCTGCTAGTAACAGGCAAAAATTGGTTTAAAATAATAATAATAAGGAGGAATAAGGTGAGATTGAATCTTCTGGCTCTGGATCCCAGAGTACACAAAAGAGTCAGGTGCACTGGGGCTTTCCATTCCTCAGACACCAGCTCCAGAGCTCCACAAAGGCCTTCTGGCTGCCCTGGATTCTAAGGCCTTGGTAGTGCTTGGATTTGCCTCTCCAAGTGCTGTTCTCTTTCTAACCTCAGATCCTAGAGGCTGTGTTGCACAGTGGTTCAAAGCCCACTCCTGGAGCCAAGCAGCCAGGGTTCTGTACCTGCCTCCCTGTAACTCTGCCCCTCAAATAAATAAATCTTAAAAAAAAAAAAAAGAAAGGTGCACAGCAGTAATGACTATTTGGGTTAGTCATCTAGGATCCTGCAAGTCATAGCATTTAAATGCTAAATAATTCTTAATCTTCTTTGAAACATGAACCAATTAATTTTGCTCTGATAGAGCTCATCCAAATATCCCCAGAAGTGCCCAGTCACCAGGGAAATTCATTTCCCTGGATGGATCCACTAATAGATTATTACTGCACATAGCTGATAATTAGAACAACAGCTAGGCTTTTTCTCAACCATGTAAAAGCAATGATAATATATAGAATGATCCATTCAAGAAATATCTAGACCAAATACACCAATAATGTATTATAAAATAACACCATTTCTTTTTTTAGAAGATTTATTTATTTTAGTTGAAAGTCACAGTTACAAAGAGAGAGGAGATGCAGGGGGTGTGGTCTTCCATCCACTGGTTCACTTCCCAGACGGCTGCAACAGCCGGAGCTGTGCTGATCCGAAGCCAGGAGTCAGGAGATTCTTTTGGGTCTCCCATGTAGGTGCAGGGGCCCAAGGACTTGCACTATCTTCTACTGCTTTCCCAGGCCATAACAGAGAGCTGGATCAGAAGAGGAGCAGCCGGATCTCAAACCGGTGCCCATATGGGATGCCAGCATGGCAGGCAACGGCCTTACCCACTAAGCCACAGCGCTGGCCCCAACCCTGTAATCTTGAGCAAGTCACTTGAACTCTCTGACACTAACCACGCCTGTTCAAGCTATGTTAGGATCAAACCCAGTAATTCATGAATATAAGCAGAATAATGTCTGAAACATAGGCAGTGCCCAAGAAGTGTTGAGCCCTTATCATCTGTAGTCATTGAGGACTACAAAGAATGGCATGGGCTCCCATTCCCTCTTGAAAAATCAGTTCTCCAGTGTGACCCATGAAACCATGAAACTCTTCCCTGCCCCATGTTTCATAAACTCATATTTAATCTCCTCCAACTCTTTCACCTTGAGTCCCCACCTCTAAACCAATAGGGACATCTCCAACTCAAAGACAGGCAGTACAGTCATGTTATTATACCTCTCTGCACCTCAGTTTTCTCATTTGTGAACTGAAGATAATACTCATACTTATGTTGAAGCAATGCTATAGAAAATGGTTGGCATTGCTAATGGTAACTTTCTAATAAAGGTTAACCATTGTTAACATCTTAAGGACAATTGAGAGGCTCTCAGTTGAGAAATTAAGAGTTCAGATACAAAGCCCAATGACACTGACCCATTTTTATGGCTTCTCAATTCAGTGCCCTTGGGTCTTTCTGGTAGCCAACCTGCTCACCCCCTCCCCCCATATAGCTTAGAAAAAAGGAGGGCAGGTGCATTTGGTCTTCCTCAAGCTTGCAGGAGGCCACTCCTCCATGGAAACCCATATCATGTTAATTACTTGTGATGAAATATTCCAGCAAGGAGTTCTGGGACTCACTTGCCTTTGCTATGTTGTAAAATTTCCACTTATGGTTTATACTGTTGAATGTTTCTTCGCTGGAATGCAAGGTGGTAGGGCCCAAGAGAACCATAACAGCTAAATTCTGGCCCTTTTGAACAAAGTTCATCTGCTATCTTAACTGTGCTGACATTTGCAAGGAATTTAGCCCTTTTAAAGCTACCAAGCAATGGAAATGTAATACAACTTTTTCTTAATCTGAGAACCTGCATTTGTAGCATAAAATTTATGGGGAGAATATATGTGGACTAAGCTTGAGGCACTTTCAAAAAATCCTTACTGGAGTCTTGTTGGTTCTTTTCCCAGCCCTGTTTGCGGCCTACGTGGGTGCTGCCCTGACCAACGTATTATCTGTGGTGAGTCCACGAGGGAGGGCTGTCAGTGTGCCCACAGAACCCCCTGGCCTGCTCTCAGCTTCCAAAGCTAGCTCTAAAACCCTTCCTCCAGAAACCCTTCCCTGGTTCATCCCGTTTGTTTCAGATCACACCATCCACCTCATCATCTCCAAGACAGACAAGTTGGGTCTCGAAAGTTTAAATGTCAACTGCCAGTCAACCAAGTCCATTGCCAATGGCCTCTTTATAGGACAAACTAACTCCTTTCAGTTGTATCATCCTCTAGAACTATTATTAATCCTTTTCTCAGTGTTGTGGGTATCCCTAAATCATGCTCCCAACTGGCTTGCGGGTCAGTAAACATCTTTCTTGTCCTCTAGAAATCATCATGTTTTAGGGGGGACACTATGAGAGGCTTCAGGGAAGAGGGGGGAACCAAGCCCTCACCAAGCCAGAGAGTAGCCAGAGCTGCTGGCTAATGGGCACATGAAGCAGTCCCAGAACCCCTTCCTCATCTGGGCCCCAGCATAGACTGGTGGGTGAGGACGGAAGGAATCGTCTGGCCAGCCCAAGCCCTGCACTGAGTGCTCATGGCTCAGCTTGCAGTCAATGCCTCTTCATCTTAGACAAGGCTGTAAGAGCACATTTCTCATGAACAACCAGGAAAAATGCTGTTGATGCTGCAGGTGAGGACAGGATGGATATGCATGACTAAACCTCTCCCTAGTTTCTGGTAGAAATGATAGCTTGGAATGGAATGGGAGAGGGAGCGAGAGATGGGAGGGTTGCAGGTGGGAGGGAAGTTGGGGGGGGGGGGGGGAGCCATTGTAATCCATAAACCGTACTTTGGAAATTTATATTTATTGAATAAAAGTTAAAAAAAAAGAAATGATAGCTTGGGCTTAGCATGGAAGGGGACGTTCTCAGCAGTAGAGTTAGCCATCTCTGATACTGTACTGTCTCCTGCAATGGACTAAGTCCTTCCTGTGAGCACCATTACATTTTGTACACACCTTGGCTATTACACTTGATGTATGGTTTGTGACAAGTCTATACTCACTGGCCCTCCTCCAGCTCAGCCCATGTGCTCCTGCAGAACAGGGGCCGTGTCATATTCTCATCTTTATCTTTACATAGTACAGTGCCCAGTAGGTAGTGAGTGCCCAGGAAATATTGATTGAATGAAGCACTAAGATGGTAAGCCTCCACCATGGAGATTACAAGAACTGGGGATGAACAGCCGACCATCAGAAAGAGTGATGGAATCAAAAGGATGGATTGTGGGCCCTGAAGCTCCCTTCCACTTCAGGCTTTGCTGTCTCTTCTAGCACTCACCCACTTGCCCTGTCTTCCATCCATGCCATGTGCCTTCTTTGGCCCTGGAAGAGGTGCAAAACTGGGAGGCTTGGTTCCTGATCATAGGCCTTGACCATAGTGTCTGGCCCTTTCCTCTATTCACCAGGAGGTTATATATTATGCCATTCAATTCAGATATTTTTCAAAACAAAATCAAATCTACTTCCTGTGTGCCTACTGAGTTTAACACACTGTTGACTACTGTCAGGAATACAAAAACGTACAGGCTATTAACTCATCCAGACAGAATTTCCAACCTCACTGAGAACAGAATATAAAATGTTGTTTAATATAAGTCCATTTAAGGTTTTCTCAGATGAGCTCTTAGAAACTGCCTTTTTTTTCTTTCTGTCACATGTATGTGGGGCCCTGTGTCTCCAACAATACCACCATCTGCTTGATGATAGGAACCATGTACTCAGGACCATTTGCTAAGTACTTAGTCTGTACTCTGCACCAACTTTTTTTTTTTTTGACAGGCAGAGTGGATAGTGAGAGAGAGAGAGAGAGAGAGAGAGAGAAAGGTCTTCCTTTTGCCGTTGGTTCACCCTCCAGTGGTCGCCACGGCTGGCACGCTGCAGCTGGCACACCACACTGATCCGAAGGCAGGAGCCAGGTGCTTCTCCTGGTCTCCCATGGGGTGCAGGGCCCAAGGACTTGGGCCATCCTCCACTGCCTTCCCGGGCCACAGCAGAGAGCTGGCCTGGAAGAGGGGCAACCGGGACAGAATCCGGTGCCCCGACCGGGACTAGAACTCGGTGTGCCAGTGCCGCTAGGTGCAGGATTAGCCTAGTGAGCCACGGCACCGGCCCTGCACCAACTTTTGATAGTTGCTACAGGTACTTGGTTTTTTTGTTTGTTTGTTTTGTTTTGTTTTGTTTTTGACAGGCAGAGTGTCCAGTGAGAGAGAGAGACAGAGAGAAAGGTCTTCCTTTACCGTTGGTTCACCCTCCAATGGCCGCTGCGGCCGTCCGGCGCACCGCGCTGATCCGATGGCAGGAGCCAGGTACTTATCCTGGTCTCCCATGGGGTGCAGGGCCCAAGGACTTGGGCCATCCTCCACTGCACTCCCTGGCTACAGCAGAGAGCTGGCCTGGAAAAGGGGCAACCGGGACTAGAACCCGGTGTGCTGGCGCCGCAAGGCAGAGGATTAGCCTAGTGAGCCGCGGCGCCGGAACTACAGGTGCTTGTATCCTTAGTTCACTATTGAGGAAATAGCTCCCAGAAATGTCAGATTAGATTAGAGTTGAGACTTGGGTCTATGTCTGTGGAACTCCGAACTCACACCTGTGCCATTGTAGGACCCCAAGGGATGTTTTCCCAAACACCTTTGCAGTCCCCAGTAGGGCTTTGGCAAGACTCTTTGAGTGGAGCTCAAATATTCTTTACAGCCTCAGTTCTGGTACCAGGCTGTCCTTGTCCTTCCCCAAGTCCCATCTGATTGTGCTATCTTTGGACACCTGATGACTGGCATTATTACTCCCATGGTCTTATCTGAGGCTTGTACTGCTTCTGATAAAGCAATGTTTGGAGGAGAGGGGTTGTGGTCTGATCTGCCTCGTAGCTGAGTTTGTACTCTTTGTTAGAAATCCACTAAGATATCTCAAATGAAGATTTGGAAGGAGTATTAAAAAGCCTAAAGGCATCTAAATAAATAGAAAAATCATATCAATATGATGAGAAAGGTAACTGGGGATTGGAGAGAACTTAAGGAGAGAAGCAGCTACTCTCCACCCCCAGCTCCCTGGAACCGAATGTGGTACCTCGACCTCTCCCCATATGTCTGCTCTGCTTCCTTGTGTCTCTCTAGGATGGATTTCTACTGCACATGGCCCCCAGATGACCACCTATTGCTGGTTGTTCTCCAGTCTTTTCTGTTCAAGAGCCCTATAAGCATTGTGTCGATGCTTCTTAGTTTAAATTATCAGAGAGGGATTCTATTGGCTCAGGTCACCTGCCATTGGGAAGCTGCATTTGAGTTAGGTGCCTATTTTCAGCCCAATCAGCTGTGACCAAAGAGAAAAAGGTCCTTCAACAGGGTGTTGGGCGATGGGATAGAATGGTCGTAGTTTTTAAAGCTGAGGATGTAGCCTGGTCAGCCACAGCCCTCAGATGAAACATAAAGGCATATTAAGCCCTATTAGGGTCCCAATGCCCACATGTTGAAGAGTGTATGCTCACTTATTGCAATACAGAACTAGGTGACTGGAACAATTTTATTTATATTTGTTGTCAATCAAACACTATCCTTAGCAATGCACACAGAGCACCCAAGGCAGCAGTGATTGGTAAGGGCTGATTAAACAAACAGGCACAACCATCTGATGTAACCAAGGCTTCTCTCATGTTCTCCCTGCCTCCAGTTTGGATTACCAACCTGCACCTGGCCCTTCTGCATCTCAGCACTCATCTTCCTGCTCCTGACGACCAACAACCCTGCCATCTACAAACTCCCGCTCAGCAAAGTCACCTACCCAGAAGCCAACCGCACCTACTACCTGACCCAGGAGAGAAACAGAAGGTCATCAACCATAACGAAGTATCAAGCCTATGATGTCTCCTAAGTTACCCTTTCCAAAACACTGGAAATTCAGCCTTCACGAGGCTGCCCGGGTCCCCAGGCCAAAAGCCACCCAACCTCCCCTCCTGACTATTCTGTGATTCTCCCCTACCCCTGCCAATCAAGCCTCCACCACAGTTCTTCCCAAACACAGGGAAACATGTGTGGTCACCATTTAAGAAGCTCTCCCTTCTTAAATGCACAACCCTTATCAGATATGTTAGACTTTGTACCCATAGCTGGGCCTATAAGAGCTCCTGTTGTGAAGAACTTGCCCTCTTCTGCAAAAGAAGTGTCCTATGTACAGGGAAGTCCCCAAGGAGAGGGCAGAGATGGGTGATATGGTCACTGAGTATAGCAAAGCCCAGTGCCAGGAAATGTGCCTGGGCCTGGCAGGCCCGAGGGCTGGGTTCTGCTCCTGGCTCCACTAGGTCCTTTCCCACTCAGCCTTGATTTCTGCCTGGCAGGGATTTCTTCACGACAGGGAGGGTCTCCAAAGTCCCTTCGACTCTAGAACTGTTGATTCTCTCTCCTATAAACTGATGAAATCAGTGTTGACCAGTAATTGCCTTAAGGAAAAGATAGAAGGGTTACCCTGAGAAGAGGCAGAAAAAAATGTTAATGTTCCATGCAGGGTTATTCTTGGATGATGGGAAGATACTCTTCAGATTTGGGGTTAAGAACCTAAATTCACTGACAACGCCAATGTGCCTTCCTTTACATAACACAAAGATTGCTGGAAATGTCCTTAGAAACTGATTTTTTTCAGCATTCAAATCACATTGTAAACAAATGCCTTTCCTTTTGTTGTATTCATAATCATGCTGTCATTAAAGTGTTTAAGGATGCCAGCAGGTGTCCGAGTATCCTTACAAGAGCTCCCCTACAATGGGGCTCAGCACTGCCCCCTTGAGGGGTTTCCCACAGCCAAGTATGTGTCTGAAAAGAGACTAGGACAGGCTACAACATTCTCAGAAAGGCTTTGATCTGATTATGTAGAGAATTATACAGCAACAAGCAGGGACGTTGTCATCTGTTTGGGTTAACCACAATTTGTTAATAATCTGTCTTGCTTTTTCAGGGAGAACTTCTTAGACTTATGCCTCCCAAGCCCAACCCAATCCCTCTTGAATGTCTTTCGTCACTGATTACAGCACTGAGCTCCTAAACCTCAGAACTCTGCTGTGGGAAGCCACGTGGCAGCCCCCACACCCCTTCCTCAGAGGAGGACAAGACTCCTCTAGTGCCACAGTGAGAACCCCTCTACACACACGCTTCCAGTTTAGCATGATGGGTGATGACAGCAGAGGGGGCAGGGGAGGGAAGAGAGAGGAGACAGACCCTCTCTGAATGCAGTTTTCCAAAAAGAATTACATTTTACTAAAATCAATCCTTTAGAAAAAGCTAGTTTCTATATTTTTCTTTTCTCTGGCTGTCCCAAGATCCCAGCCATCTTTCACCAGCCCAAGAGCACTGGGTAGCATATTTCTCTGCCAGATCACAGCCAGTGTACACTGACTTTTCCAGGAAAAAGGAGCACTTGTCTATAGAGACGCGTGCTCCGCGCAGGAAAGGGAGCAAGTCACACTCCAGAGGCCAGCTCTGAGTTTGCGATCACACCTTGAGGCCAAGAAGGTCTCAGGCTGTATTTTCACAACCATAGAATTATAGCTGTCTGGGGAGTGAGTATCCAGGAGTTTCACCAGCAGGCGGTTGACGCACGCAGCTCACTCAGCAGCTCCAAAATCTCCAAGTGATGACAGAGAATTGTTAAAGTATCAACTGTCATACGTTTTCCCACCAAAGCATTATGATCTGGTTGTATTAAGAGCGAGAAGCCCTCTCTGAGCATGCCATTCTAATTACTGACTACTGAAAAAACCTGTCAGCCATTCTAAGTGTGCAGTATTATCGCCATAAAGCAACCTGAGTTGATCCAGGATGGCAAGCAAGATGGAAAGTGATGGCATAAAAGAATTCAACCTGTGAAAACACTCGGTGTCTACAGGATACTGAAGGAGTCAGTGTAGACCAGCAGTTCAATTAAGTACCAACAGTATAGAGCTGGAGCCAGCTGCTGCGACTCTGGGAGCCGACAGTGCAAATGAGCATATTCCTCCCATGCCATTCTTTGACATCATATCGATAGCATGGATCAAGCCATGGTGGGAGACCTCACAGCACAGAAGTCAGCAAAGTCTACACACCTGGGCATGCACACAGAACAATAATACATTTTACAGGCACACATACAAGCCAAAAGGTATGTTAGGACGTGAGGGAGAAAAGTGAATGGAGTAGAAAAATGAAAGGACATATGTGCCTTCACACATCCAAGAGAAGGCCAACAGAGATAAACCGCCAGGGGGTAAGGCATAAAATTAACTTTGTTAGAAAAAAGAAATGCTTTTAATGGCATGAGGTGTGTACTATGTAGAAATGTGGGGGCCGGTGCTGTGGCATAGTGGGAAAAGCCACCACCTGCAGTGCTGGCATCCCATATGGGCGCCAGTTCAAGTCCTGGCTGTTCTACTTCTGATCCAGCTCTCTGCTATGGCCTGGGAAAGCAGTGGAAGATGGCCCACGTCCTTGGGCCCCTGCACCCATGTGGGAGACCCAGAAGAAGCTCCTGGCTCCTGGCTTTGGATCAGCCCAGCTTTGGCCATTGCGGCCAATTGGGGAGTGAACCAGCAGATGGAAGACCTCTCTCTCTCTCTCTCTCTCTCTCTCTGCCTCTCTTTCTCTCTCTGTGTAACTCTGACTTTCAAATAAATAAAGAAACGTGTACATACACACACATATATCATACACACACATGCACACACAGCTGTTTTTGTCTCTTTTTCTCCTAGAACTAGCTCATTGGTGGCACACAGTTGGCCAAGAAATAGTTGATGGCTTCCCACTCACTTCCACTGGCTAGAATTTGAAATCTGTTTCACCCAACAACAGACTTACAGCAGACACACAACCTCTCAAGCCAATTGACTGAATCTTGCTCCAAAATCTGCTGCTCACAGCCTCCTCCCAATGCCCGTGAACAGTGTTCAGGGACAGAACTCTTCAGAATGGAGCACACCCTCCAACGCCAAGCATTTCGTCGTCTTTTGGGCAGCCACTCCAGAACTCTGCCAGCAGTCCTTTGTGACAAGCGGTTCCTTCCTTACACAACCTCTTGAGTTTGGACCCCAGACCATCTGTGAAATAGTCTCAGGTGACACAGGTAGATGGTAGGGGGTGTAGCAGAATCCCCCAGGAGTTTATCTCAGATAAATGGGCCCCATTCCCAGGGTTTGATTCCATCGATCTAGAGCAGAGAACTTGAGTCTAACTAGTTCTCAGATGATGCTGATGCCTGGGTCTGGGAGTCTATACCCTGAGAACCACTGGTGTAGACTTAAAACTAGGATACCACCTCCAAGCATTCCTTCCCCCTTCATTGCACATTGCAATGTGTAGGCCGCATCTATGGGGCTTTTTTAAGAGAGATTTATTTTGGGGCTGGCGTTGTGGTATAGCAGGCAAAGCTGCTGCCTACAGTGCTAGCATCCCATATGGGTTCCTGTTCAAGTCCCAGCTGCTCCACTTCCAATTCCAGCTCCCTGCTAATACTCCTGGGAAAGCAGCAGAAGACGGCCCAAGTCCCTGGGTCTCTGCACCAACATAGGAGACCCAGAAGAAGTCCCTGGCTCCTGGCTTCAGATCAGCATTATGGCCATTTGGGGAATGAATCCTCAGATGGAAGATCTCTCTCTGTTCTCTCCTCTCTCTAACTCTCTCTCTCTCTCTCTCTCTCTCCATTACTCTGCCTTTCAAATAAATAAAATAAATTTTTAAGAAAGGCAGAATGACAGAGAAAGGGAGAGACACAGAGAGAGAGAGAGAGAGAGAGAGAGAGAGAGAGATCTTCTACCTGCTGGTTTACTCTCCAAATGGCTGTAACAGCCCAGGCTGGGGCAGGCTGAAGCCAAGAACCAGAAACTTCTCTCATGTCTTCCACATGAGTGGAAGGGGCCCAAGCACTTGGGGCATCTTCCGCTGCCTTCCCAGGTGCATTAGTAGAGAGATGGATTGGAAGTGGAGCAGCCAAGACTCATGCTGACACTCTGATGTGGGATACTGGTGACACAGGCAGGGGCTTAACCAGCTGTGCCACAAAACCACCCCAATCTATGGGGCTTAGACTTGGATACAATAGATCTGGGTAGAGCCAGGATCTGAACCTCCCACAAACTCTTGGACTACATACAGATTCTACTGGATCAAGATCCAGACTTCGAGATCATTGCATAGGATGACAGGATGTTAGTCCTGGCTGGATTAGAACCTCCTGATTCTGATGCCCAGGCCCTGTTCCAGATCATCAAGTCAACAGTGGGCCTGAGCACTTCAAGTTCTGGATGTGATTTTAATGTGCAGCCAAGGTTGACAACCTATAATGTCTGTTTCCTGGGTCCCAACTTGTGTCCAATCAGAGATGCTCCTGGAGGCTGTTAAGCCCTCAGTACCTATTCTCAGCCCCCCTCCCTGACTGGGGAAGGGGGGTGATAAGTGCAGAAGACCCCTGGAGGGCAGAGAGAAGCACTGGACACCTGAAGGCAGGCAGGACCTGCCTAGCACGGAGAATCCTCAAAAATGAAGTCTTGGGGCTGGCACTGTGTCGTAGCGAATAGAGCCACCTGCAGTGCTGGCAACCCATATAGGTGCTGGTTTGAGTCCCAGCTGCTCCACTTCTGATCCAGTTCTCTGCTGTGGTCTGGAAAAGCAATGGAAGATGGCCCAAGTCCTTGGAACCCTGCACCCATGTGGAAGAGCCGGAAGAAGCTCCTAGCTCCTGGCTTCAGACAGATGCAGCTCTAGCCATGTGGCCAATTGGGGAGTGAACCAGCAGATGGAAGACTCTCTCTCTCTCTCTCTCTCTCTCTACCTCTACCTCTACCTCTACCTCTACCTCTACCTCTCCTCTCTCTGTATAACTCTGACTTTCAAATAAATAAATAAATCTTTTTTTTAAAAAAATGAAGTCTTTTTCCAAGTATTGGTAAGGCCAACCTACACCCCAATGGAGATTGGGTAAACAAACAAACAAAAAACACACACACACACACACAAATGAAGCCACTAACCAGAAACATCTAGCCCAGAAAGCTGAGCTGACAAAGCAACAGCATTTCCCATGGGCCCTGGAAGCCTGCTGAGTGAGCATCTTAGCCCCAGAAAGGAAAAGTAATATAATGGAGCTGCCAGCTGCCCACTAGCCTTGCCACCTCTCTGGGAGTTGGCCTGTTCCAGAGGAGTGCTGCAGGTGAGAGGCAGCAGGTTGCCATGTGAGCAGGTGCAGGTATGGGGTGGGGTAGAGTGATGCCCAGGGGATGGGGTTAGAAGGTGGAGGGGTTGGGGCCGGCACTGTGGCATAGCAGGTAAAGCCGTCCTTTGTAGCACCTGCATCCCATATGGGTACCAGTTTGAGTCCCAGCTGCTCCACTTTCAATCCAGCACCCTGCTGATGCCCCCGGGAAAGTAGTAGAAGATGGCCCAAGTCCTTGGGCTTCTGCACATACATGGCAGACCCAGAATAAGCTCCCTGCTCCTGGCTTCGGATCGGTCCAGCTCTGGCTATTGCGGCCACCTGGGGAGTGAACCAGCAGATGGAAAATCTTCTCTCCCCCTCTTTCTCTAACTCTGCCTTTCAAATAAATAAAAAATAAGAAGAAGCGGAGGAAGAAGAAGAAAAAGGTGGAGGGAGAGGGAGGTGTTGACAGCAGAAGCTTCTGCGAGCGGACATGTAGGCAGGTGATGTCAACAGAGAAGGGGCTCCATGGAGACCTGCATGCAGGTAACCCTGAGC